TAATCGAGTGACATGTTACCCCTGACCTTTTCATTGTCCAGCATCCTGTCTAGATTGAGGTTGATTGGTATCATAAAGTAATGGTTACAGTAATCCGAGGCTGTGATAGGTATTTCAGCCCCATAGGTCTTTCCAAAGAACTCTTGAACCAAGTTGTATCCACGTAAATAGCTCGACTTGTTATAGTCATAATAGTGCTTGGCATCACTGTTTTCGGAACACTCCCATCTGAACTTCAGCGGACTGTCGAACACAGATTCATCGTTAATGGTTACTTTGAGTTGGGAAAGATTCGCATGTACCATGGCCAGGCGATTGCTGAAATTACTGGCAGCGCCGCCACCCAAGACAGCATCTTCTCCGAGTTTCAGATCAGAAAAGAACAGGATCATCCTCCTAGGAATATCTGAATTGTGGAGTAGCTCCAGAGTACCTGCATCGTCTGTCAAACTCTTCTGTACAAGCCGAGGGCACCAGGTATGGAAATATAGTTCTTTAGGCAGACGCACTTGATCTACGTATGCCTTATCCATTCTATAGGTAGGGTAAACAAAGTCCAGCTGCAGCAGATCAATGTTGACAGGCCCAACACCTGTTAGACTGTTTCCTCCTCCGCCTCTATCCGAGACAATCATATATCTAGAGAGCTGGGTTTGCGGTAAATCAAACCGTATTTTGATTTGTGTTCCTGGAGGCAACCACGCATCATCCACATTGAAGAAGGGAAGGAATGGTCTCATTTTGAACTGGAAATGCCCTGATGTCACACGGGCAACGTTTTCCAGAACAGTATTACTGAAGTTCTCCTCATTCGACAGGTGGACAGTGGGCCGTCTTTTCAGTGTCGTACCATCGAAATCATCTTCGCCATCTGTGTTTGTTGCAAACGCATAGGCGTGCGAGCGTTTTACACCATACCGATAATTCCCTAGAGGTATATCTTTAACACACTTCTGGGGGTCTAGTTTCTGAAGTCCGTACAGATCAGAATCGGAATATTGGAGTTTAGCCACGTCACTCTCCATAAGGCTAAGAATGTGTTGCACACTCTGCATATCTTGCACCTTGCTAGATTGCGTCACCTCCGTGCCATTTAGTTCCACGCGGATATTCTTGAACCATGAAAATGCAGGGGAGGTGGTACACACCCAGTGTGGATATGATCTGGCTCCATTAGCCCGACTATCACTAACTTCATACCGGAGTTTGACGATAAAGTAACTTTCACTCAAGGCAATGAAATTTGGTGATGATATATCCAATTCGCTGTTCAGAGAGGGTGGTGAACCATTTCGAGAATACAGTCTTACAAAGTTTCTCCCCTCTAGGAGTGATATCTTCTTTTCGGTTCGCTCTAGGATGCTATTCTGCACCACTTTAGTTTTCGACAGCAGCCCCTTAAAGGGGTCTGGGATCTGAGTGGCCACGACGTGCTGCGCCATTCTTACTTGTACGTGGAAAAATTTACTCGATTCTCAGATCCAATAACGCCGGGTACCCCGTGGTGATAAACTCTCCAGTGTTGTACTTCAGCCAAAATGATATTTCCGTAACGCTTGAGTGCGGAAGTAGAGCGCGTTTGTCTCTCTCTCCAAATATGTAATTGTTGATACCGTTGTGAGTTTGAATGGGGAACGTCTTCAAAATCCTCGAGTCCTGATTGTCTTCATATTCCACGGCCTGGGCGATCAGGTCTGTATACAACAACACAAACCTTCTCCCTCTAGTCAGATCAACTGCATACGGTGATGTGAAAAGACCAGGTTGTATGGTCACGGATTCTGCAATCGATCCCAAGCCCAGAACGACACTGGGGGAGTCGGGTTTCAGGATAATTTTTTTCCCGACAGGTACGCTGATGCTCGCTCGGCTTGTATAGCGGGAATAGGAAAACACAATATCTGGGTGATTTGCACTTTTCAGTGCCTCGTTAATGACTGTAATGAGATCTGCAATATCCGTGTGAGTTCCTGTTAGGATGGAGAGTTGAACTTCCCCTTCTTGCGTCTCCACGTACAATTTGTTACTCTCCGTATCAACGTTTTCAGAATGAAGTTCGAACTGGGCAGTGTCCAAACTGATGTGTTTCCCTATGGTATTCAAAGACCTGATACGCAGTGTAAAATGAGGCGTGAACGCACCGGCTATAACGGCAGAAGCGTTGTTTACTGCAGACAGTACCACCGCCATACCTACTGTACAGGGGAAATATTTCCCCATAATAACAAGGATGGCGTTTTGGAGCATGCATTTCCACAAGAGCCCGTCTGAGGAAACCTCCAGCCGAACAATAAGAACCTTGAAGGATGATATTGCGCAACTCAAAACTCTGGTGGGTAACGATAACACCAAAAACACCCTGATGTACAATGTCGGGGCACTACAGAACAGCAAGTTGAATAAAACAGATGCTGAGATCATGGAGGGTCGAATCAAAGAATTCGCGGAGTCAACGGTGATAGATGACGAAACCCATTTGAAAACGGATGGCAGCGTGAGGATGAGAGGAAATCTGCACATGAATGGCAAACGTTTATGCTGGCTGGATTACGACGGTGTGTCGGACACCTGTGCTGTACCTGCTGGGTGGGTGAAGAAGGAATTAGCCCAAATCCGCAAAATGAAAGGTCCTAAAGGTGATTCAGGATTTGGTTGGTATAGCGGAGCAGACCCTCCGTCGCCACCCATCGGCAGACAGGGTGACTTCTATTTGGATGCTACCACCCTCGTTGTATATAAAAAACTCATTGCGGGTTGGACTGCATTCGGATCACTTAAAGGACATCGAGGAAGACCAGGGGTCCCTGGACCAAAAGGAAGTCCTGGCCCGACTGGGGAATCTGGATTGCAAGGTTTAAGGGGCCACACAGGACTGCAAGGACCCCAAGGGCCATCAGGACACATAGGTGCTACAGGGCCGCAAGGACCCCCAGGAAACATAGGGCCCCAAGGACCTGAAGGATCGCCAGGCCCTCAGGGTGACGTGGGACCGCCGGGGCCCAGAGGTCCTCGGGGCCACAGTGCAAAGAGTCTTCCAATACTTTTTCCATAATACGAAAAACCAGAGTGAGATTATAGAAATGTTTCCTTTCTTTTCAATTCAACGAATTCATGCAATGGATGGTTTGATTACGGTTGAAATTGACTGTATGATTCATAAAGAACAATATTCTCCAAGCAAGTGATGACACGTGCACCTTAAATCAGTTTAGAATGCCTGCACAATGGTGGATAGTATATAGATCAATGCATCTGGATAGTCATCATAAGCCAGTGAGGCAGCAAGTGGTAGCTTCGGTATAACTCCATAATGTTGGATGAGTTCAATCATTAGCTGTTCTTCTTGCTCTGTCATATCCACCGTCCTCTCAATAAACCGTTCAAAGTGAGCCTTACGTAGTTTCTTTGGGGTTATGACCTTCATCCACATTTTGAAGAACACTGGGGAAGTCTTGAATAGGGAAGCATTTCTCATCCATGCATCTTTGCTTCTGGGGAGATGAAGACTGAGTATCTGCACCATCTCTTCATCTTCATAGTAAATGCATGACAGGGCGATGGCATAATTCAGAGCTCTATACTCACTACCCTTCTTCATAGCGTAGAGGCGATGCCGAGTTTCAAAAAGCGATGGGTATAGCGGCTTACACACTCCCACCTTCTCGATAAAAGCTCCCAGACTTTTATCCACTGATTCCAGTCGCTGCACATCTGTGTAAGGCTTACTGGGCAGCATTACACGCTCTGCTACATTTGCCTCTGGCGCAAACAAAGAGCCCAAGACTAGACCACATTTCATGCAAACGACAGCTTCTTCCGTTTCTATTTCTTCATGGTTACACCCATCACAAAATTCAACTTCCTCCTGAAACTCCATGGTGCCAAATGCAACTGTAATGATCCTGACGCATTACTTTATCCCTTCCACTAATTGTTATCGACCAATCAGCATACTCTCGTCACCTCACATCCAATCAGCATACCCCACGTCACACTAAGGTTACACACACTTGTGTCATATATGCGAAAAAATGGTACTGGATCATAGCAAAATCCTCCTGGATAATGAACAAAATAACGATTAAAACACAATACACAATAACGACAACAACCGACAACAACAACCAACAACAACCGACAACAACCGACAACATCCGACAACAACAACCAACAACAACCAACAACAGCCAACAACAACCAACAACAACCAACAACCAACAACAACCAACAACAACCAACAACAACCAACAACAACCAACAACAACCAACAACAACCAACAACAACCAACAACAACCAACAACAACCAACAACAACCAACAACAACCAACAACAACCAACAACAACACCAGCATTATAATGCATGGATAGTGCATGCAGGGTCAGGGACTGAAAGTCGCACGCTAAGTAAGGGCAACTTGTCAGTGCACATCTACGATGTGCGAATAAAACGAATGCAAGGAAAGTGAACTTGTTGCTGCACATCTACGAAGTGCGAATCAGGGATTAGTATAATGACACGTGTACTAGTCCACCTTGTGTTGCACTGCGTCTTTTCCGCAGGGCCACTGAAGGTCGCACGCTCCGCGTGCTCATGCGCGCATGCGCAATATGTCATTCACTGCACATCTACGATGTGCAAATCAGGGAGTAGTACGTATTTTACTACTCCCTGGTGCGAATACAACGAACGTGCACAAGTGCACGGTCGCCACGGAAAAGAACATGATGATATTTATGACATGGCAGGGCCAAAGGTCAAACCCTAGGGGGTCCCGGGGCCAGACCAAGCGCGCCCGATACAGTGTGCCTTATTTAACCCAAAGGTCAAAGGTCAAACCCTGGGGGAAGTCCCGGGGCCAGACCAAGCACGACCGACACAGTGTGCCTTATTTGGCCCAAAGGTCAAAGGTCAAAAAGTGGCCCAGAACCTGCCCCGCACTTACTACTCACGTCCACTGGATGTCAGGCGAGCCCGCTCCTGTGCCAACTGCATTTTGCCCAACGACAAGTTCCTTACTTGCTTCCAATTTTTTCCAGTCAGTCGCTTGATCCGTATTCGAATGTTGGAACTAAGTTACTGTTGAGACGGAATCGATTTTGTAACTGAAGCGTAGTCTACATGGATAGACCGGTGGCCACACGCCCAGGGATTGTGTTCCTTGTTCTGGTGATAATGCAACCGGACTGTGTCAGAGGTATCGCAGGTATGTACATGTATAATGTACATGTAGAAAAAGCAGATATTTAGTGTCCCGATCATTGCACAAAGTAATACAGGTAGAGCTTGAACGGGTATTTTGTACTTCAGAACAAGGTACAGTTGAATACACTTTTGTGATAGCGTGCGCCCGATTCTTTCTCTTTCATTCTTGCCCACTCTCCTAAGAATTTACACTTCAAAAAGACTTCAGAGAACACTTTTCCGATCAACCATGTGACATAATTACCAGCATTTACCTTTTGTGTGAGAACATTATTATAATTATGATTCATGCGTCCCATTGGCATCCCATTGGATATGTTACGAGGTAGCATGTTTGATCTATATGCGACAAGCTAAATGTTTTTGGGAACGTGCTCGGGCAGGCACTGCACCAATAATTATATCATTCGATATATTCTTCATATTATTATTCTCTCGCCCCCCCCCCCCCTCCCCACAGACTTACACCCAAATATGAAACTCCATGTCCTAATGGTACAGGAGGGCGTTGAGGCCTCTCATGTTGGTACACTATGAATTAGACAGTATCATGGTCAATGAAGTCTTGCATTGGTGAAAATAAACATTTTGGCACAAATCACACCAGAAATAATGATCAATTATGTTATCTCTCCTGTGATCCTTTGGTAGGTTTCAGTCCAGCAGCGCAGATATACTGCAGCAACACCACTTCATGGTACCTATTCTCGCCAGAAAAGGTTCAGGTAGTCAACATGGAAAGCATTTGCCAAGGTATGAACGGTTCCGTCATCGACACTGCTTCGCTCTCAGTCCCCTGCCTCATCAACCTGCTCGATCAGCTTACCTCTGAAATCAAGAACGAGTCATTCATATGCATCAGGTACTTTGGACCATTCCTCTCTCAGGCAGGACTATGCAGTATAGCTGGGTCGGTTATCGGCATTAGCAATACAGATGACACAAGATACCATCACCTGGTGTGTGAGGGTAAGTTGGAGGCAATGCATTGGACGAGAATATTTTAAGTAGTTGTGTGCACGGGTAGTAGGGTACCCGTGCTACCCGTGAGGACCTCAGGTACACGGGTACAGAATAGTACCCGAAAACCCAAAGTCGCAGTTGCCATCAAGAACAGTGCACGTATACAAATTCATGTAATACTCTATATCCACATATCTACCCAGTGTGTATGGGAAGAGGTGCATTGTGGTGTTACCATGGAACCGTTACCAGATCATGTGCTTGTGATACCCGTGGAAAATTACCCGAACCCGATACCCGAAGAAAATGCTACGCGACTCAACCCTAATTTTAAGTCTGTACTATGCTATGCTCACTAGCTAGTTTCGCTTACTTCATTCCAAGATACAGCGACCTTGTCATATTGCCCATAACACCGACTCATCATCATCATCATCATCATCATCATCATCATCTCATCATCATCATCTGCGTTGCCGAAAAAAATAATAATAGTAAAATATTTAAATAACCGACGAGGAGACAACAGTCGTAAAATAGCAATTAAAAATATCAATTGTGCACTCATAACCATGTATAAACAATTAAAATGAAACAATTCCAGAACGTTTTCGTGTGACCATCATCAGTGGAATATCGTCAAATAGTAAGAATCACTAAAAAAACCAGTTATATAGCTAGAGCAATATGAAAAGAAGCGTGAGACTGCAGCACAGCTAGCGGTTATGCATAACGCGTGTAGTGTGAACCTTTGCAGTGTATCTGAGAATGGTAGCAGTAGATGAGCGTGGCAGCTGTGAGTGCGTGTGAACAAAAACTGGTGAGTGCGTATTATTTAAAAAGTGTGAGTGCTACAACATTTGCTTTTTGCTTGCATAGAACAGGGTCGCGTGTGCGAATATATACAGCTTCCAACACCTGCAACTGCCTAAAGAAACGCGCGCGACAAATAACACTAAACCTGGAATCGTCAAACAACTTACGACAATCCGGACTGGACACCAAATGCTTGTAGATGGCAGACTTGCTCCAACTCCTCCTCGTCCGTATCACTCTCATCCTCCACTTCCCGTTCCTGCTCACCCTTGCTTTCCCCCTGACCATCCTGTTCATCCCCATCATCATCCTCCATCTCCATCTCCTCATGCCATCGCTTCTTTCTCCTTGACGTGTTCACTGCTGCGCCCGTACTTTCACCTGCCACTACTGGTTCCGCCTTCAGGATGGATGTCATCCAGCCGTAAGGGGTTATCGAAAATATTTAAAATGGTGGCAGTAAATAGGCTGATTTCCCAACTACTTTGTGGACATAAATGCATGTGTATACATAGCCTGACGTTTGTACTCTTCATTTGCGTACTTTATCATGTGCCTTATTTTTTTGGCGTCCGTGTGTAGCTCGCCAAAAACAGGACTATCAAGCCTACGTTACCTCGTCGTCGGAACCGACCACTACTCGCAATGTTGCTGGAGTGCGTTTCCAGCAAAACACATCAACTGCTTGGGATGACCGTGGTTCTAACGCCTCCGGAAGGTCAACTGCAGAAAGCAAAAAGCCGACAGCTCTAAGTGAGACGATTTCACCATCATCGAAAACCGACAGTAGAGTTCACATATCCGGCCAATCAATGAAGTCGCTAACGGAAGAAACCACATCACTCCAAATAGATTCATCAACGCCATCACCGCCAGTACAGCAGCCATCAACCGGTGAGTGGCAAATCTCCCACTGGCCTATAGATCACGCGCAATTGGGTATTTTGGAATTGTCTGTAGCGTAATGGTTGCTTTCCTGAATGTGGCAAATTCTCAGGGCTTGAAACAGTATGGAAACTGAGGAAATCGCACGCATGAGCTTCGCCAGCATCATCGTCAATCAATTCTTCCTGGCGAAAGCACAGGAACCAACCAGTGTCTTTGTAGTCCAGTCATACCAGTTTGAGCAGTGGTTGGTTGGTTGGTTTTTATTTTACTCCGCATATTCGTGCATAGAATATAATTATGCATTTCGACTGCTTCGTGTTTGGAATACGGGGAGTGAAAGATCAATGTAAATGTGAGAACTATGTCAAAGTGTATTTTCCAACAGTACAGACTGTCACAAAATTCTCCACGCGGGTGTGAGCTTGTGCGCCCGCGTGAGTATGTGCAGGTTCATGCTCAGAGCTGTGAGCCAAAAAGAGCAACTTCATTTTACTTGCATCTTGAAACACTGAAACACTCTGGTTTTGCCCTTATCGAACTTGTTGGAATGTTTGTGTGAAATCATAGCTCAAATAAAAACAAGACCATAATATTCGTAATTAATATGCTTCATTTGAGTGTACGTGGTCCTGTTTGGGAGACACTGTCACTCTGAATGAATCTGACGGCAACCGGGACGCTTCATTTCATAAGCAAGGTTTTTTATCATAGTGATTGTGGCCCAAGCACCCAACCCGCGCACGTCGAGATAGTATTTGGTTGAGCTTGCAAGGCCGAGTACCCAAAATTCTGTCGTAACGCGTCTTCTGTTATGTTTCTGTTGGTCTTGATATCACTACAGGGGTGAGTGCGATCGTTGCTGGCGCTATAGGCGCAGGATGCTTTGGAGTGGCCTGCCTGACCCTGCTAGTCATCATAACTCTTCGTTTCCATCACCGTCAGAATTCTTCCAAAACGACCACGCAAACAGGTGCTGTTATGGAGAACACAGGACGTCAGGCGTCCACCAGGCGTGCGGAACTAACGGCAAACTCAGCATACGGAGTCGGGTGCAGTACGAATGCTGGCAACAGTGTGTGCACCACTGCGATCTATGAAGAGATCAACACGGCCGCAGAAGATTACGAATCGGTGGATTCGAAAACACACCATACTTACAATGATGCCTGTGAGGTGCCAGCAACTAAAAAACATGAACACGTATACCTGACGATGTACTGATGTGACGGGCGTTTGATTTTTATATCCTCTCACTGTCCAATTATGTTGCATTAATAGAGTTTTAACAATCCCTAAACACAGTGCATGCAATTTTTTAAATCCCATCCTCTGTATTATCGAGTAGATAATGCCCAAAATATTTGTTCTGCATGTGTGTTTAACCTTGCTTTATTGCGCATTCAGTCTTATAGATCATGCGAGGGCTAGCTAAGCTTGCTTGGCTGTGAAAACGTGGAGACGCCTGCAACAATTCAATTAGATTTTTGTCGAACAACACCGATTGTATATGCAATGCAATTGAAGGAATTCCAATCGAGTGAGTCTAGTGCACCAACGCGCCAGGCACCCTTCAGTTCTATCCCTGGCAAAACTTGGATTTTCATTCGCACACCACCCAAAGCTGACTGAAGTGATTCAATTTCATTCTGCAGCAATGTAGCACAGTGCTCATTGACTCGGTGCATAGATAAATTGTAGTAAGCTTATTGGTCCTGTCTTGGACACCATTCAGCAATCATAGTCACAAACCAGCCTCTTGAGCATGTGAAATAAACAATTAACAGCGCTAACTCTATCCTCTTTCCTCTCACATGTCTCTTCTGGATTTGCCATTTGTCACATACTTTCATCACATGCGTTAGTGCTGCACTTCATATACATGAAGTTCAATAATGTGCTGTGACAATTTCCCCGTTATGTTTTGCTTGTTCTCATTTGGCCACTTTAACTCACTGGTTGACTGACTAGAGTACTCACTAAATTAGAGAGACAGTAAAACTATTTTTTTCACGGGAGGGGAGGGGAATGACACGAAATGAAGGAACAATGAGCAAAGCTGATGCCGTGCACCCAATATGAATGGTTTGGCCTACATAGAATTGTGTGAAAAATCGTGAAAATCGTCGTGAAATTGCCTGGTATAAACGGAGTTATTGTGCAAGGTTCCGCAAATCTGTGACGCTTTAAACGGGCCCCCAAACTCCACTGACGGTTTTCACCAAGACAGCAGAGAGCGTATTCCAGATCGTGGACCAGTTTCACTGATTCGTTACCAGACACTAGTCTTTACAATGGTATGTATGTGCACAGACAAGCTAGAACAAAACATTATCTCTCTCTTACTCTCTCTCTCTCTCTCTTCCTCTCTCACTTTCCCTCTCTCTCTCCGTTCCTCTATCACTCTCTATATATGCAATAATTATATGTTGGATCTCTCTCTCTCTCTCTCCCTCCCTACCCACTGTTGGTGCGTCTAGGTGGCCGTGAAATCGGGAGTCGGGCGGGAAAGAGCAGGAAGAGCCAAACATGAGCTCAACCGTCCTGCAGCGCTCACCCAAATGTCTCTTTGACAACATCACAAGTTCAACATATAATTTCTTGCAAAACTGTTGATACGGCAAGGGCAGAGGCAAGTGGCACAAGTCACTAATGGAACAGGGCTATCGTTTGTTGCTGAGTTTATTTACCAATTATCAGGCAACAATTATTATCAAACTGTTGTACTAGTACTTGATAACCTCTAAACTCGCTTGGGCTAGTCAAAAGATCATTATTTCGTCAATAGCGACATACCGTACTTGTGTGCAGGCCTGGACATACAGTTCAAAACCATTTACAGAGATGCCAAATATTCCTATCACACGGGACACCTCCCGAATTTGTTGATGTTTGGGATTTCCTGTCAATATGCTAATCATTCATGTACAACGGTGCTGCATTTGTTAGGTTGACTGGCACTGGTTTCCTATGCATGATCAACATGCTAGCAAATCATGCCGATGCACCCCTACATGTTTAAGGCAAACAATCTCCCTACTACAGGCAATAGGACTTGAAGGGAGATCTCCCTACCACGTGCGAATTGAAGTTGGCAGTTCCGCATTATCAAACTTTGAGGCATTCGCGAGATGATACACGTACAATGCAAGTTAAATTTCTCCACACACGTTCCCACATCTGCTGCTTTGACAAGTCCTCCAGTAGACGCGCACCAGATTCACGCACCAGATTCACGTGCACGCTCGCAGATCGCACGCGGCAGGACGGAACTGTCTAGTTTCTAGTAGACGTGGTGGCTCGCTCTCAACACCACAGCGTTGCCTTTTCACTCCTTACATTTGGCTTCTAGGTAGCACATCTGCCCTTGTTAGTGCGACATTGGATACAAGACAAACCTCATTAGCAGACTACCATCAAAGATCCGATGACACCTGAAACAGGTACATTCACGTCAGGATGGTACCTAATACTCGTTATATTACAAACAATTTGAAAACCCAGGACTCGCCTACTAACGAGAGTAGACCTGTAACAGGAAACGTAGAAAACACATCTGGATGTAACAAGATGCTCTCAAACTCTTGTTTGCAGCACAGTCGGCTGGACAGTTTCTGTTGATTGTTCCCGTAACCGAACAAAAATTGTGTAGTGGCTGCCAGTAATCGAACAGAACAAAGATTTCAACGCATTTCTTTAGCTTTTTCACTGCACCAGAAGTCAGCAATTGATACAATATTGGATTCTTACTCACTTGGCAACACAATACTCGGTGACATTGTGTTGTTGAGGTGTACAGTCATGGAGGTGAAACAAGATTGTCCCGGGAAGACAGGAATCCTAGCAGCCCTTCTGCTCTTATCTCTTTTCACCGATGTTGCTCAAGGTAAGGGCGAGATGGTATGCAACTCTCTCTATTCATAGGATCTGCATACTGTGTTGTATTGTGGCTGTAGCTATTGCGTCTATTGTCTACAGTATAAAATAACTGACCATGGCCATCAGATATCCCTATTCAGTATCCTATTCTCGGATGTGCCTTTTTGTAGGTGAAATAGTTGTCCGGAGTAATATTAGTGTCAGTACTTGTTGCCCTTAGTTGTCGAAATTGTATTGTGGGGTTAATGGCTGCCGAGGTGGCTAGACGACTAAAGAGCGCAAAGAAGCGATCAGCAGAGGAATATTGAAATGGTTTGAAGCATATTTCTACTTATTTGGTACTCAGAAGTAGCAATAAACTAGGCCATTGATAAATAATCTTTTAAACCGTCCACTTCTCCACATTGCGCTCTTACCCCACATTCACCACATCACTCCATAGCGAGGAAGTTCGTTCTTGGGTAGATGTTGATAATATCCTCCAGACAGCTGTGTCGCTCAATAAGAGCTCCTGAGTGAGGGTAGATAACGAATGAGTAGCAGATAAAGGCAGGCGTACATTTAGTGGGTAAAGTGACGCAATAGCGCACTATCCACATAGAAAAGTGGCATACCCAATGAAGTTGAAGGTGAAAATGTTCTAATTGTGATAACGAAACGCACAGTGCTGCGGGAACATGCACACAGATGGCGCCAGAATTTGGACATGCGCGTGAAGCACACAATCTTTTAGAAGTTCGCACTAACGTTGCCACACATACACCCATAAAGATAGATTGAAGTAAAGGTCCCATAGTGACGTGACGACTAGGTGAGAAAAGCGGAAGGCCAGACGATGCGACAGTGCCAGAGGCCCGTAGAGCATTCACTGCACTGCTCGCCCGCCGTGTGACGTTCCTCCGCTGCCACTTCTGCTGTTGACGACAAAGTTTTTGTTCTAGGCGCACATGTAGCCAGTAGTGGTGCGTATCAGCTGCTAACCTCCAGAGAGGCCCTTTGGGCATTCACTCTGTCAGAGCTGCGCGACCTACAATGCTGGCCGTTGAAAACTTTCATTCCGCAGATGAGGAAGAAGAACATCCCGCTGGCTCATCCTTTCGCTGAACGTCGCAAATATCAATAACTCAGAAGTGGCGATAAACTAGGCCATTTACAAACAATCCTAACCGTCCACCTCTCCACATTGCGCTCTTGGCCCACATTCACCACATCACACCATAGCGAGGAAGTTCCTCAACATCTACCCAAGAACGAACTTCCTCGCTATGGAGTGATGTGGTGAATGTGGGCCAAGAGCGCAATGTGGAGAGGTGGACGGTTAAGATTATTTACTTATTTGTAGTGCTGGGAAATATGCCATTTGATCGTCAATTTCCCAACATATACGCGTCGCTTCTCTTGCATCATTGTGGTATCTGCTCGTCTCCATTTTTCTGGCACGGAGGCCGATAAGGTCTGGCAGCACTTTAATTTAGTGCTGGCCCCGAATACCGCATTCTTGGTTGATTTCGATTTCACCAGCGGCGTCCCGCCACAGGACTCACTATATCATTCATCGATATCGTGCGAATAAATACAGTAAATGAATAATAGGTCAACGATCATTCCAAGTTTCTTAATTACATTCTCTGAATTCATACATCTTCACTCTCCAAACGGTCTCTGGGCTACACCAATCACTAAAATGATTCGAATTTTCGGGCAAGGCCCATCTTCATGATTAGCAGGTTTAGGGCATGAATCCAGAACACTTCTGCATTAGACTGATATCAAACAGAGAAAATAGAGTAACCACGGCGGTTGTAGGCATCGCCAATCCATTATAATGTATTTCATTTGTGCTGGTTTTGACCTGTCAATTCGGAGTTATGTTCATCTAATTGAAGTTTGTCAACCACCGCGGAAAATCGTGAAATATTTACACAAATCATTGGCGATATATGGTCAATGATGTTTTCATCTCCCCTATGATCGTGTTGTAGGTTTCAGTCCAGCAGCGCAGATCAACTGCATGAACACAACTACATGGTACGTATTCTCGCCAGAAAAGGTTCAGGTAGTCAACATGGAAAGCATTTGCCAAAGTATGAACGGTTCCGTCATCGATACCGCTTCGCTCTCAGTCCCCTGCATCATCAACCTGCTCGATCAGCTACCCTCTGAAATCGAGAACGAGCCATTCATATGCATCAGGTACTTTGGACCATTCCTCTCTCAGGCAGGACTATGCAATATAGCTGGGGAGGTTATCGGCATTAGCAACACAGATGGTACCAGGTACCATCACCTGGTGTGTGAGAGTAAGTGGATTAGTGGAAGACATATTATTTTGTTTTGCAGCATTACTTTTTCCCAGCTTGAGAAAATGACTGAACGCACTGTCTGTCCTAAAAATCGAACCTAGGTTGCCCTGCATTAATATTGTACCAAGTTACCATTGGTCCAGCGGCGGGCCGGGGACGGGTACCTGTATACATGCATTGTGTTCTCTTCGGGAAGTGTTCGTAAAACTGTTTCTGTGCCCAATGGCTTACTGTTCTACACCGAATTCGTCCATTGCCCAGTCCAGCCGTACGCATGTCTTCACCTTCCATGTGTACTGTACAGCTCAAAATAATTATAATGAATTCTCTCCGTCCTCTACTGCATTGAGTGTTTCAACTCCTCCAATATCGAGAAACAACAGTCATCATACCACTTCAGGCGACGGCACTGGCGAAATGCATGCATCCTCCTCTTGGAGCGTACCCGCCAATGATTCTTTTTCTACAGCCTACTATGCCACATCTAACCAAACAGACTATGAACCACCCACGAGGAAAAATTCAACTGTATTTCCAACGGATTCAGCAACAACTTACAAAGGATCTACTGCTCCTGCCATCAACACTACACAGCGAACGAAACTGATAATGGCTGTGAGTATTGGGACCCTAGCTATGCTCTTGGCCACTGTTGCGGTTCTATTGGCTCGTCGCAATCACATCAAGAGAAAGCAACCAACGTCAGGAATATGTAAGAGGACAAATGTGGAACTGATTTGTAGTTACAAGCTGTGTTATCATTCTGTGTACTCGTTTAGTCTACCGGCGCCCCATTCCCACTATGCCTCGGCGACGTCTCTAATCGAATAGGGCAGTCGCAGCCTGGCCAAAATGCAGTGTATGCTAGTTCGTGTGACGGCTTGAAGCCACTCGTCTCGGGGAACCGTGGTTTTCCGATTACCATTCAGTTTAAATAGAGCACTAGGTATATTAAAAGTTGATAATCATGCAATAATCGGACAAAGACCTTTTTGGAGACTATACAATTGCAATCGCTGTGCCTCGTTATACATAATAGTCCTTGTATGACGTTTAAGACGTTCGAATTTCTCTTTGAAGACCTAAACTATGATGCTGTTTGTGTGGTAAACGGGAATTGTCACTCCGCTATGTTTTAGTGGTAATGGACGTGCTGACAGGAGAACAGACCATCGAACAGAACTGGGATCACGCAGCACCACTTTACCACGTAAGAAATTACCAATGAGATTAATGATCATACCTTTTCTTCAAGACAAGCAGAAGCACTCATTTTTATGTGGATATCTATTGTACGAAACATTAGTTCTCACTGTAAGGTCGAATAATATTATATTAATCACGCATACACAATCCATATCTGGATTGTGAAAATGATAACATTCTGCTTGGCAGTATCTTTCGCGCAAGATCTTCACAAGTGATGCGTTGTCCCTTTTAGACTACTTTCAAGCAGTAGGTATCTAAGGAGTCTTGGGATCAATTAGCTGGAATCTTTCTGCTCTGCATACATGTAATTATGATCACGGAAGGTCTTGGAAAAGAAGGCCGCTCTTCAGGTTGTTCAATAATAGCATTTCGAAAGTCGTAGCGAGTATACTTCCAAGCCTTCGCGGTCGGTCACGGGTGAATTGTCTCCGTGGAAATATTTTGTCCGACACGTCTTCCTAACAATCATACACTTTTGCATGCATAATCTCAGGTCTCCTTGCAAACAGATATATCCCCATACTCAACAGTAGACCTCATTGCCGATGAAGGACATGCCAATGGGAGCAAAAAGATGATGCAGACTGAGGATACTTCGTATGAATTGCCAATTGTAAGTCTCACGGTAATTGCCATAGTTTCCAGAGCCACAGAGGTATAACTGGTTCATTTTCCTAGTAACAATTTGCTTCTTTGAATAGTGGTAGATAGTTATGGTGCACTATAGCCATGACGATGGCCGGTTTGAAGACTTTATGTTTATCTACTCTCTCCTCCTATCTTTCAATAAACGTGATACAGAAACACTGTGAACAAATTGTAATCCATATCTACGGTCGCTGTGCGTTGCCCTGAACTACACCGCAGTAGCTTTGATGGTGTAGAATCTCCGATATTGTGTGTATCTGACAGAACATGGGTATTGCGCCAGCGGAGAGCAGCTGCCGAACCCGCAATATTGCTGGAGCACTGCGCATTTTTCCTATGTTTTAAAGGAACATGAATGATTTTACTTGAATGTTTATTGTCGTTATTAGAATGTAGGTTCATCGTCAGGTTCTATTGAAAACATGAATGGTATATATGAGGACCCTCTTCCACCTACCGACTGCCAACGGGCCATATATGATGACCCTCTGCCTCCGACAGTTTCTCCAATGGAGGATTTCAAGGTGACGTCTCCGGTTATTTCTTACTTGTAGGAGTATCCACTCTTCAGTAATGTGTCCGCCCATATATCAAATACATACACTCACCCAGAAGCAGAACACACACGCACACCACCCACTACTATCCTTGTGTGCTGTATGTGTGTAGCCACTGATTGGTTCACGTCGCGACGATAGTGAAAGCGGGCGGAATGAATGAAATAGACAGAGATCCACACACGCACATGCAAACACTTGCTCGTGGATACAGCATGCGGTGCTACCATGCCAGACTTCATCATGTGCTATCGCCGCTAATTCTAGCCCAGCTCAACAGGCCAATCAATTCAGAAATCCACTAAGTATGCATTGCCATCTTGCTCGATTTCCTGCAGACTTCCATCCCTGATTTGGATGAGCATTATTCGACATTGGGCTCTCAACCTCTTACAAGTAGCAATTACGATGTGCTCAAGAGAGATCCGCTCACAAAGAAGCCCATCGTAAGGATGATCCAAAAACTACGCACGCGTCATTAAAGCTTTTGGAACTTTGGTTGTTTTGGATGATGACTCCTCTACTTGTTTCAAACTGTTTGTATCGTCTTTATATCTTCTGACCTCTGTCTCACGTAGATCAACATGAAGCGCATTTCGTTGGGTACGGAAGACGACTTCAGCACCAGCGCGATAGAGACTGAGTATGACAATGTGATCAAGGTGCCCATCCTGACTACATCGGGCGACGCAACACAGGAAGCTGATGCAAACCTCTATGACAACATCGGAAAGGCGGATTGCAAACAGATACCTGGTGCAATGCAGACATCCATTGACAGAAGTGCACATGACAATGCAGTCGTCCTGATTTCCGATGATATCGAATTCAGCATTTCCGCATGTGATAATGTTCAAAGCCTGTCACGCGAGGGTGTACAGAGTTTGTCTGAAAACACACAGCTTACAGATCCTGATCAGTCATTTTCAGCATATGATGATGTCATTGGGGAACTGCCCAATGCAACTCATGAAGGCTCATCGTACATTGTCCATGACGATGAGGCACCGCTGGAGACAGCAGAAGGCACGCACCTGGCGTCGGAAGACTCAGTTCAGGATAATACCCTGAAGGAAGATGCTATGGTTTAGAATGCTGCTCAAAGCGATTCAGGGAATGGACAACGGACACCGGCAATAACGAAATACACCTTCCTATTATTTCAAGTACAGTAACAGATAAACACGAAACAGCCTAGACGTTGCTTTCTCCGATTCCAATACATCCATGATGGTCTCTCTCTGGACACTTGCAAGCCTCACATGTGCTAACGATACACAGATGCAATGTAATTCTGATACTTTTCTGCTGACTTAGTACATTTTAATACCTCTTTTGCCTGTATTTGAAATTGTTTCATTATCTTCGAAAAGAAGTTGGTTGGGTTTTTTTAGGAGGGTGTTTCAGCTGAAACTATAGCAATAACTAAAAGAGATTTATGATATTTGGACGAGCTGAGAATTGAGGGAGAGAAGTGTGAACGGAGTGGGCTGGCCACCAGTCAATGCCATGTTATTGAACACAGTGTACATTTCAAAGTTCGTACTTCAGGTACAGTTTAACCCTCTCACTACACAATCATGCTTCAACAATCTCATCATGCTGGACTCTTGTCGTCTCCGAGAATAATTACATGGTTCTAATTCATTCTGTAATTCAAATCCCAATAATTATTAATAGCTATGAAAAGTATGAATGCCGCAGACATCACCACGCAACATGACAATTTGTTCAAGGTTTGCTTTTATTATTATGTTACATTGCAACATGGAAATTGTGGGCACAAGTTATGCGATCGAGTCCACCAACTAAACCAGATTTTTGAACAGTCAGACGTGCACAATGTAGCACAAAACTGACAAGGAGTACTGAGACATTCCACGGCATGAAAGTCAGCTTGAGCACTGCTCACTTGTGCTCGGGTCGATGGCTCTGGCCTTCCCATGTTTGGAATTAGTACTAATATGCATGAACCAACTAAGTTAGAAAGCCGTTGAGTAGCGCTATCGAGCAGTGCTCAAGCTGACATTTATGCTATGGAATGGCTCGGTACTCCTTGTCACTTTTGGGCTAGATCGTGTACGTCTGACTGTTGAAATCCGGTTTAGTTGATGGACTCGATCGCATAACTTGTGCCCATAATTTCCACGTTACGATTTTTTCCTTGGCTCACCATCTGGGTTCATTATAAGTACATTGCCATTTGATATAGCGTACTCCATAAAAATGGAGCAAACCAACAATTGCTGTCATTGTCATTCTAGAGTATTTTCAGATTGTCGAGTTAAAGGCCACATGCTACTTTGATGTGATAGCCCTCCTTTGTTATGACAAATGCATTAATGCGTTGAAGCATTTTGGCAGCACATGATCATGAGGAAGAATCCGACTTAAATACCCTTACGTCAGCTCGTGTAACAATGACAATTCCGCATTGTGAACAATTCAAAGCCGAGGGCTTCAAGCACGGAAGGAACAGTATGACTACCATGAATAATGTCCGTGTGGTACAGGGAATTAATGGGTGGTTGCAACGTAGACAAAAATAACATCACGGATCTGTGTTTGCCCGTGCATGCTGGTTAAGTTGTTCTGGTTTTGAGACGCACTGGGCAGTTATATACGAAGAACAATGCAATTATTATCATTATCAGGAGCCAAATATTCGTGAGACGGTTCCTCCTCGTGCTAATGCTTCCGCCGTGGCCATACACAAGTTGCAATTGTCTAACCTGTCCCCTATGTAAAGCTTGCCGATAAAACAATTCCCTGTCATCACTGGAAAGATCACCAATTTATAGAGTAATCAAAGTCCGCAGCAGCCTGTTCACAACCACACATGTACGCATGATCGGTATTAGTAGAAGTAAGCTACCATTAACCTTCATTTTTCAGTTGTGATCGTGCAGCGGGTTGTGCAAAAGCAGATCTGCCCATGACTGTTTGAAGTAGAGCACTACTCTGGCCTTGTCCATGCCAAACCGTTAATATCAAGTGGGCAGCCGTCTTGCTCGACCGTGATTGTATCGTAGAACAAGGATTCTCAGTATGGAGTGGCCATGTACCATTCAGCGAATTATTTTCGCAGTGCTCCTCGGTCTCGGTCTTTGCAATTCGGTGTTTGGACTACAATATTCAGGTAAGTATAATCATTTTAAAATTTGGAGCAGACAGAATACTCGGATATAGAGACAAGAATACATTTACAGAAAAGAAAAAAAGGACCAAGGAACTACAAGTTACGCTACAATGTCCACTAACACCACCAGTAATTCAATTAGCTCATGTGATGAACCTGCACCAAAATGACCGACGGTACTGAAGTTCTACAACAAACTGTTTATCAGCTCTAGCGCATCTTGGGTGCGCACTCCAATAGCCTTCCATTTTGGAAGGTTCTAAGTTATGTGATAACATAGGAGGAGAAGGTGAGCGCAACCAAGACAAATAATTGGGCTTGTAGCCCAGGTGTACTTGCGAATTCAAATAAAAGTATACATACATACATACATACATACATACATACATAGTATTACATACATACGCTAGCGGATGTACATGCATCTCGATGACGATAGTGGCAAGACCATTGGATAATACGGTCAACCCAAGATTCACGGACGCAAAGCAACATTCCACACAACTTGTGTGGCTCAGAGATGCGAAGATTAATTAAAGGGAAAGCTATGCGAACAAGAATCATGCAAAACCGAACGCCTCAGTAAAACAGCACTGTACTTCGACGATGAAAATTTAGGTGTACGCTAAGAAGCAGTAACAAGCAGCAGTCACACCACGATCATTTCATTGCTTAAAGATATGCACGGCTCATCAGGTGCGCAAAAATGGACTCCGATGGAGAACCAAGGACACATTTATAGAAAGGACAAAGGACCAAGGAACTACAAGTTATGCTATAATGTCCACTAACCCCACCCGTTGCCAAATAATCAGCTCATGCGATAACTCACCTTCCCCTCCTATGTTATCAAATAACTTAGAACGTTACAAGGTGGAAGGCTGTTGGAGTGCGCATCCAAAATGTGATAGAGCGGTTAGCCAGTTAGAACGTCAGTACCTTCGGTCAGTGTCGCGCAATGCTATCGCATGAGCTGATTGTTTAGTAACGAGTGGTGGACATTTTAGCGAAATTTGTGGTTCCTTGGTCTTTTTTTCAGGCAGAATATAATTATTTTTGATAAGGGCCTGGTCAGACTGCAGCAAAAACGAAAAAACGGCGCACTCTGACCAGGCCCTAATAACTCACTCCGGAACAATGTACAAAAGAGAAGTGAGAAATGAATTTGCGATCCACTTGTCGGTTTCGTGGTTGTTCTCAATTTGTGATCATGTCATGGAACCATGCACTCGAATCGTGTTTTTTTATCAGCAACACAAACGTGTTCAGGGTACATTACATCCCTGTTGCATAATGAGAATCCCATCAGCAATACTGTAAACTTGTTCTAGGACCCACTATCTGATCCGAAGAAATTACGCTTTCTTTATCCATTTAGATCCAACTTTGCTTTGGTCTTTTTGTCCTGCCCTGTGCTTGCTGTTCAAGGCCCTATTGCAGGCGCATGGGTGCAATGTAATGACACTCGGACTGGGGCAGGCGTCGTGCAGTTTGCCCTGTTCACTAACAAGAGCCAGACGCAAGAGAGCGCAGACACCACCTGTAGATATCTGGGAGGTCGCCTGGCCACACTAGACACAGTGAAGCGAATCACGTGTGCAAATATGGCTATCGAGCGGGAGTATGACCGGCAGTGCTCGGACCGATCGCTGACCATCTGCGATGACAGCTGTTGGAGCAGGCTAGACGAGGCATGCAAGCCACGCGTATGTGCTTGCGGAAGGGTTTTTGTCGGACTGGTTCTGACCAGACATGGAACGTGGACTTGGCTTGGATCCAGCGCATTGGACAACACGATACAATGGATGCCTAATCAGCCGAACACAGGCTCAGAACATTGTGGATTTTACTTGCCGGGAAGAGGCATGGCAGCTGTAGACTGTAGTGCACGCGATGTTCACCACTTCATATGCGAGAGACCGATCCGCGCAAGAGGTAAGCTAACATTGCGATACAACCTGCTAAAAAAGCATAGGTGAGTCACTCATGGCTTGAAATCCGGCCGTCGTTCTGATAAAATGGGAGTACTAGTATCCTGCATAACCAAGTCACCAGAGTTCTTTTATCGTGAATGTAATGGATCTCACTCAAGGGAATGTTTCCCTGTCTAAGTATTCCGTAACCATTATGTGCCATTTTTGTGATCAAAAGTAATGTGAACCGAAAATCCAGTCCACTGATTTTCGGCAATTCTAAACCTGCATAATATTGCGGTCAATCTAAACGAGAATTTTCCCGGAATTACTCACCAACCCTCGAGCTCGTGGTATTACTCTCCTTGCTTGATTTACTGTTATGGGTTAAGGTTTAGTGGCAGCTGAATAAAGTGGTTTGTGGGTCTAGTGATGCATATGTACCTACGCGAGAGTCAGTTTGGGAACTTGTTTGGAACGTGAACTATATAGCATACGGTGACCTTAGGTTATAGTATTTGCTTATACTAGTTATAGGCTAACATCTACTTTCTGATTGTGGTATTTTGCTTACAGAATGTATAAAGGAATCCTTTCAAAATTTTCAACGTAGCATATTTTTCATTAAGTTGAGGTAGTCCAATACAGTTGAAATCCTATTGAAAACTGGCTTGTGGCTGAGTGAACAGCCAGTCTATACCTTTACCATCCCAAAAGAACGAGTCCAAAGCCTCACAAAGTGTGTCTCTGTGCACTCTTTGCTCCTGTTTGCTTTCTATCAGATGACCCTGTTCGGGAAACCCCCAAACAAGAAGAGTACTCCTTGGATCTGCCGCTACCTATACAAGACACGGAGGCCCCAAAGAACTCGCCTGTCGGTCAGGTTACAAGAGCAGCTGACGGATCGCCGACACAGTTAGCTATCACAACACAGCACACCGTCTACACGACGAGCGCAGAAAATACAAGTCCGCAACGTCGTGGTAAGATTTTCCCCGTGTGACTAACGCTTATGCCTTGAACCATCATCGATAGCTGAATATACGTACCTGGCTTTAGTGATGCGTACTCGAAGTAAAATTCAGTTTACATTTTGTATCGAGATCAAGCTTATTTGTTTACCTTGCAGTCACAATATAGTTTTACATTTCCCCATATTCTTGGAGAAAATGACGGAAGCTATGCTCTAAAGCACGTGCTAGTACACCCGTACATTTCAGAGGTAAGTAAGTCCCTTCCAAAAGCTATTTCCTTCAAAGTTTATACTATCATCATAATTATTGAAGCTTGCTCGTGGCTAAATCAGCAGGTGGACCGTGTAACGTCTCCGGTGAAAATGAGTAACCAAAGTCTCCAAATACCTCGTCCGAGGCCTAAAGAGTATTATTCTTTGTGATTTTGCCTTTCGTTCATTCCTTCAGCTGACCCAGTTCGGGAAACGCCAAAGCAAGAAGAGTTGTCGTTGGATCTGCCGCTTCCTATACAAGACACAGAGGCCCCAAAGAACTCGCCCGTCGGTCAGGTTACAAGAGCAGCTGATGGATCGCCGACACAGTTAGCTATCACAACAAAGCACACCGTCTACACGACGAGCGCAGAAAATACAAATCCTCAACGTCGTGGTAAGATTTTCCCCGTTGAACTAACGCTTATGTATTGAACCATTACCGATAGCTGAATACAGGTACCTCGCTTTAGCGATGCCTACTCGAAGTAAAATTCATTTTATATTTTGTACCGAGATCAAGCTTATTTGTTTACCTTGCAGGCACAATAATTATAGTATTATATGTTCCCATATGCTTGGAGAAAATGACGGAAGCTATGCTCTAAAGCACACGCTATTGTTGTTGTTTTGTTTTGTTTGTATTTATTTTGATTCGCAAATTCAAACGGGCATAGAACCCAATAAAATGAAAGCGAATATGAAAATTATAATGAGAATGAGAATTTAAATGCTTAGATCTTCAGCATAGAGTCAGCGGTACATCAGAGGGAGATCGGTTACAACAGAAAGAAAACAGAAGATTTCGCTTGTCTTCAGCATCTACAGGGCACATGTGTAGGGGATTACCTGCGTGCGAAACTGCCGAGCGTGATGGATGGAACGGATGTCGCTGGGGAGGGCATTCCATAATACAGCACCCTTGAAAGCAAAGCGCCCCCACCCCGCAACTGAATGGAAAACTGGCACGCACAGGCCCATGGCAGATTGGAGCAGAGTAGGGCCGGGTGCAGCGGGGGTTAGCAGGGCTTGCAACTCTGGACTTGCCAGTGCATAACGACAGCGCCACACCAGGTATGCTAGCTTCTGATTGAAGGCTTCTGCCACACGGAACACTTTTTTTATTTTTTATTTTTTTATTGAAAAACCACAAACCTTCAGACATGTGAATGTGCACATGATATACAGCGTATGTATCGAGAAGGCAGCACGGAAACGGCAGTGGTGGTGAGGCCTGGGCAGCTCGTCCGACCGTGGGTCTCGGAGTCAACACTGGGCAGACGCACCGGGGGGGGGGGGGGGGGTAGCTTAGGAGATAAGGGATGGAGCCAGCATGATCATAGTATGTAATGCATATGCAGAAGTAATAATTATGTGAATCTTAAAAACAATAGTGCGGTCGACCTGCGCAGAGGAAAGGCATCATGGACATGATCTACGTGTATAACATAATAATAATTATAAGTGAGCTAGGGCACATCATACACACACATATGCGCATGTTCAAATAGGAGATCAACCTGATAGGCGTTCGCGGCGTTGGGTAATCTTGAAATAAAGATATTAATATTATTGAGGAGATTATTATCATACGCTCACATAAACACCACATACCAACCATGTGCACCCACCCACCCACACACACACACGCCCGTGCACACACACACACACACACACACATGCTTGCATGCACGCACACACACACACACACCACACACACACACACACACACACACACACACACACACACACACACACATACATACACACACGTCACCACACACATACACACACACACAGACACACACGTGCACACTCACGCAGACGCGTAATAATACATAATATTTGTGCACAGACTCACTCTCTCACAGTAACGTCCAGAAAACCACCACGCAGAGTCCCTACAGCCGGTCGGTCGCCCAGTCCCAGTGGCTCGAGCGCAGGACACTGCCATGCGCTCCAGCAGGTGGCGGGCAGACGACCACGGAGGGCGGCCAAAGACAGCACGAGCCCCACTGTTCTGCAGGACCTGTAGATGGTCGAGGTACCTTCTTTGCAGTGAGCTAGAGTACGCGTTTGAAGCATGCAGCAGGTCAGACATGATCAGCGATCTAAAGTAGGTCATGCGTAACTGGTGATTCAGGCAGCGGCGCATTCGCCAGAGTGCTCCGATCTTCTGCGACACGCGTGCAGAACATTTGGCAATGTGGGCGTGCCAGGACATGCCGGAATCGATTGTGGCGCCAGGATAACGAGCACTTAGCACACTAGGCAGTGAAGTGGCATGGCAGACGACCTGTAGATCAGCTGTGTGCTGACGGCCGGCAGGAATTGGCACTACTTGGCTCTTGCCAGCATTGAGGATCAGGCCTCGATCCTTCAGCCAGTCTGCAAGGATTGTAACCGAAGCAGATAAGACATCTGATACCTCCTGTGCTGTTCGCAGGCTGCACGCCAGCGCAATGTCGTCAGCGAATTGAACTGACTCGGACTGGCCAACTACAGCGGGGACCTCGCGGGTGTAAAGGCTGAACAGAATGGGGCCCAGCACCGAACCTTGGGGGACACCACTCGTGCAAACTGATAATTATAGAGCTAGTACGCGACCCCAGACAGACACGTTGAGTGCGACCGGATAGGTAGCTGGCGAACCAGTCCAAGGCAGAACCGGACACCCCTACACTGTGGAGATCCTGCAATAGCTTGACATGTTGGACTTTATCGAAGGCTTTGGACATGTCTAACAGGCATGCACCTGTGAATAGGCCCTGGTCCTTGGCTGTTAGCTATTGCACCCGTACATTTCAGAGGTAAGTAAGTCCCCTCCAAAAGCTATTTCCTTCAAAGTTTATACTATCATCTACTATCACCATAATTATTGAAGCTTGCTCGTGGCTAAATCAGCAGGTGTGCCGTGTAACATCTCCAGTGAAAAGTCTCCAAAGACCTCGTCCGTGGCCTAAAGAGTATTGTTCTTTGTGATTTCGCCTTTCGTTCATTCCTCCAGCTGACCCAGTTCGGGAAACACAAAAGCAAGAAGAGTTCTCATTGGATCTGCCGCTACCTATACAAGACACGGAAGCCCCAAAGAACTCGCCTGTCCGTCAGGTTACAAGAGCAGCTGACGGATCGCCGACACAGTTAGCTATCACAACACAGCACACCGTCTACACGACGAGCGCAGAAAATACAAATCCGCAACGTCGTGGTAAGATTTTCCCCGTGTGACTAACGCTTATGGCTTGAACCATCATCGATAGCTGAATATACGTACCTCGCTTTAGTGATGCCTACTCAAAATAAAATTCAGTTTACTTAGTATATTTTGCACCGAGATCGAGCTTATTTGTTTACTTTGCAGACACAATTATAGTATTTATTACATGTCCCCATATGCTTGGAGAAAATGACGGAAGCTATGCTCTAAAGCACGTGTTAGTGCACCCGTACATTTAATTAGTATTACAGTGTATATCACATCGGTGGGTATCTAGTGGGCAAATCAACATCTAGGTTGTATACTGTCTCCGGTAACAAACTTCAACCTCCGTGTCCAAAGACCAAGTCCCAGGCCCCAACTATTGATTTTTTGTGTACTTCTTGTTTTCATGTCTGCAGGCGACCCTGTTCGAGAAACACCAAAACAAGAAGAGTTCGTGTTGGATGTTGCGCTCCCCACGCAGGGTTTAGAAGCGCCGACGCTCTTGCCTGTTGCCCTGACTGCAAGGGCGGCAGATGCAAATCCCACGGTCTACACGATGAGCCCAAATACTACAAATCCACAAGATCGTGGTATGACTCGCCCTGCATGAATGACTCGTTTGGCTTAAATCGTTATCGATAGCTGAATAACTACAAGTATCTCGAAATAAACATCAGTTTCCATTCAATTATTGGTATCGTGAGCCAGCTCAATAGTTGGAATACTATACACCTTCATGTTATCATATTCTAGGAGGACATTTCGTAGGCATCTACGCTCTAAAGGATCTATATGTACACTTCTCAGAAATCCATTCGAAATGCATTATTAAATCAAGTTTAACCGGAGGTTGAACCCAGTGTGCTGAAAGTGCTCAACACCGAGAAGATAGAGCGTAATACAGCACAGAACAATAATTTTAGGACAATCAAGGCTTGTTTTCTGCTACTTCAACTGTCGCCTGATGATTGTGAGAGCATGAAACTTGAAGTAGCAGCAAACAACAGCAAAAAATCCTTGACTGTCCTTGTTGCTCTGTTCTAAATCACGTTTAACAACAGCCACTATGACCACTGCGACAACAAAGGATAACCACCGTCTCCAAATACCAAGTCAATTGCCTCAAAAGTCAACAGTATGACCTATTGAATAAGAGGTTGGTGCGACTTCGGCCATACTTGGGGAATTTTGTGTTTCTCTCTACGTGAGAGCTTGCGCTATTCCTGCCGACTTGAATTCTCACTGCACAGACTCACGACTGCAATCTAGTATGACGTATTGCGAACGAATTTCTCCATTTTCCATCCCTGCAGCTGACCCTGTTCGGGAAACACCAAAACACGACGAATTCGTGTTGGACTTGACGCTACCTACCCAGGATGGGGAAACACCTACGCTCTTGCCTGTTGTCAAGACTGCAAGGGTGCAAGACGCATTGGCCACTGATTCAGCCGTTACATCAGACTCAACAGCCAACACGATCAGCGGAGAAGAGACCCAACCGCATGCTCGCGGTATGATCCTCCCCGCCTGTCAAATCGTGTTTAAAAAGCTTGAACGGCTCTCTGCAATTGTATAGGTGCCTTTAGTGAGGTCTTGTGATCAATTTATATTGGCATAGGGAACGATCACGATTATTAGTAAAATATTTTAAACTCATGTTACGTGTGCTTCTAGATTGGAGATTTATATTTTAGGGCGGCATGCAGACTGCAATAGTGACATATGTTCCATAATTATACCCTTTCAAAAGGCATCTTTCATCAAAATGAAGGATGGCTTGTGGCTAAACCAACGGTCAGTCAATAACCTTTTAGTAACAAAGAAAGTCCACCGTCCCCAAAGATCGAGTCCAAAGCCTCAAAAATTGTTTATGTTTGTACTTTCTGCTCCCGTTTGCTCTCAATCAGATGACCCTGTTCGGGAAACTCCAAAACAAGAAGAGTTCGTGCTAGCTTTGACAATTCCTACGCAAGACACAGCGAAGCCAACGATCTTGCCTGTTGGACAGACTACAAAGGCAGCAGACGCACTGAGGACGCAGCCAGTTGCCACCTCAAAGGCCGTCGTGTACGCCACCAGCGCAAGAAGTGCCAATCCTCAAGACCGAGGTATGATTCTTTCTGCCTATGTACACGTACTAGAAACTCGTAGTGTATGAACCGTTATCGCTAGCTAAATATGTGCCTCGAGTGATGTGGTAAAAATCGACTTAGATTGGAATCAGGAACCAGCGCCATTGTTGGCAAACCAGGCACCTTGATAAGTTAAAAAATGCATGTCTGGGAAAACCAGAAAAGCTGAGCTGGGCCATTTCTCCTATTTCGCTCATATTTTGCCGTGAGGTTTCCTTCGGGCTTTAGAGCAACCATGCAAAAGTATTCGTTGCCCAACTTACTGACACCTTGGAACTGGGGATCACCTCGGAATGGGCCCAAGACTGGGGAAAAACCACCACCATTCCAGCCTTACCTCACCTGAGTAGTCTTCACATCACCACCACATAGAGCCATGGCAACACCCAGTGTTGTGAACCCTCTGGTTCTGTTAAGTATCAGGAACGAACGACCCCACACGGCACGAGGACAACTATTTATTCTCAACAGTATATTTCACTTCCATGGACTAACTAAACAATGAATGAATGAATGAATGTACAACTAACACTAAAACCACCAGGTAGTTATAGCGTGAAAATGACAGCGTATATGAGAAAAGCATACACATACAACAAACAACTACAGCGCACACAGTCATGATCCAAGTCTCGCAGCGGAAACCATTTACAGCGTCTATGTTCCTGAATCGTCCACCGCACAACAGTGGACTATCCCCTTTACCACCCAGGACATATCTCGTAAAACGTGTTCCACGGTTTCTGGAAATGAACAAATTTTCATTGTTTTCACTTCACCACTGAGCACTCATCTCCCCTTTGTAATTCTGCAGACAACCCTATTCATGAAACGCAACACCAAGAAGATTTCGTGTTAATTTTGGACTTCACCACTCATGTTCCCAGAAAAAAAATAATAATAATCGGTACCACCAACAAGTTCACCTGTTCGTCAGATCACATGGGAGGCAGACCCATTGACGATAACGCAGTTACCTGTCACACCAAAGCCCAACGTCTACGCGATTAATGCAGGAAGTTCTAATCCACAGCCTCGCTTAATTTTTTTATACGGAGTGAGCACAATTTTCGCCCTGGATGACCAATTCGATGAAATTTTTTAAGTTGCACTGTAGCATTAATGTTCGTCACACGAATAAGTATGTGCTGAGAATCTGAATGCCAGAGGAAAATATGTTCGACGTCTACAGTCTTTGCACAAAAAGACTATCCATAGTTGGTGTGAGTTATTCTCGAATGCTGGTCATTTTTGTTCATGTCATTCATGGTATGGAAAGGGTGACAAAATGATGCTAATTTGCTGATCACCCATTCTTCCATTTTTTTCTTCCCGGCAGATGACCCTGTTCGTCAGACACAACATTGGGAAGAGATTGTGTCCAACCTGGCGTTCATTACAGGTGAGCTGGTCACTTCAACAAGCTCCCAGGTTGGCCAGACTACAAAAGACGCAGAGCCATCGACGACAGAGTTTGTAGTCACACCAGAGCCCACCGTCTCCGCGACCACGCCAGGAAACTCAAATTCTCAAGCTTATGGTATGGTTCTGTGTGTGTGTGTGTGTGTGTGTGTGTGTGTGTGTGTGTATGTGCGTGTCTGTGTAAAATGTAGCTTTAGCCACTCAATACATTTTCTATTAAGTTGGAAGGCTGCCGCCGAATGTCTCAGTACTCTTGCCAGTTTTGTGCCTAGTTTTTGCACTTTCTGACTGTATAATTATAGTATCCAGTTACAGTGATGGAGAATTACCCTTAACTCGTATCCATATGTCCTTTTCCTTTCCAAATTTGTTTATGGCTCAACATCCGAGTTTCAATTTTTTTCTTTTCATTTTTATTCGTATGGGTCCTTTATGATAAGTGTTGGTAAGGCGGAAGACAATGTTTAACACTGCATAAGCAGTTTAGGCCAATTGCCGAACCACACAACAGGTTTCCTTCCATCATACGTGGACACTTAGGTTACATGTGCATATAAAGGAACTTCTGGTAGAATAATTTTCAAGTCAACGAAAACATTGCACTGGAAACTCTATTTTTAGAGAGAAAAATAGTTATACAGGTAAACCCAACTGGACGTCGTGATGTCATCGATATGGTAGAATTTGTGCAAGAGCTCGCGCTGTTTCTGCTAACTTAACATGGCATTTGAATGACACACAACCGCTGCTCAAAACACCACTGTGGACGTTTTTCATTCCTTACTCCTGATTCTTCTGCAGATGAACACGGACGTCAAACACAGCAACAGCAAAAAGAAGATCCAATAATTGATATGGAGCCCACTACTCTAAAATCAGTGCCATCAACAAGCCAGGATGCTGCACGGACTACAGCAGCTGTCGACATATTTACGGTGCAGTCAGAGTCCGCAGTCGAGCCCACAATTAGTGCGAGGACCCCTGAGAGTTCTCATCAGGAAATTCCTAGTGCAACATCAGAGACATTCACCTATACCCGTGCAACACTGTCTCAAGAACGTGCAACAGATCAAGCCGCCACATCAGCACCTGGTTTACCTACTGCAGACCAGGGCCAGATGGCAGAAGCAGTTTCCAGTGCTGGCGAGAGTGATCGCAAGTCAAGTACTTCTAGGAAGGCGATATCCCAAATCACTGTACCCATGACAGACAAAAGAAGCCGCATTGGAGCCAATAGCCAAGAAATGCTGCCTTCAGTGACAACGTTACTAAAGGAAGAACTCGTGACGCAGACCTCAGTTACGTCTGACTCGATTATATCCAGCCGCCCGTTTATCAGTGAGCATATCAATTCGCAAAATCGTGATCGGCCTACAGAAACCACAAGTAAGACCATGGATTCGGTGCATACTAGTAGCTCTCATTTAGTGTATTCTGCCACTGCTCGGGAGTCTCCAACCGAGGACATATTTGATGTCAAAATGGACTCTCACCCATCTACGAGTAAGGTGTTTACGGTCAGGGTACAAATCGGCTCCACACCTGCATCTACAGTTAGCTACACAGATCGTCCACTGACGCCGAGCAAGGAAATGGATCCAGGCACCATGAGTGATCGCAGCACTGCTACAGAAGCGGAAGAACTGGCGACACAACCACCGGATGTAACCGATGCAGCGGTGGCAAGCCATTCAAGCGTTCCTGAGGATTTCAAGCAATCAACGCATGGGGAAAGTGCAGAACCAAGTGGCAAGATCTCTAACGCAATGCATACGATCACTTCTTCCCATTCAGTTCCTACAACAGCTAGAAGATCTTCCCTTGAAGACCTTCCCGACCCAATATCAGCTACAGATAGAGGTGCATTTATAGCAACAACTTCCAGTGCTCCGTTGGCGGAAACAGAAGCAGGGGTGGTTTCCCTGGAGCCCTCACCGGAATCATCTATACCCCGCAGTGCAACTATCAAGACAACATTCATCCACAGTAGTGCAACTACTATCAACACCACTCCAGAAAGTCGCGTTACAGCAGCTGTCATGTCTAAGAAGACGCCTGACATATTTCCTACAACTCATTCAGAGGCACCACCGTTTGATGAGCGTACAGACCCAAAAAGCACAAATCCCAATTTCACTTCCAGGGGTCATATGACTGCGACCGAATCATCTGAAACCCGCCATGCGACTTCAAAAGGCTCAGAAGGCTTTTCACCGTCAAATAACTCACGTGACGCCAAATTGTACATCACAGGTGTGCCTCGTGCAAGAATGACGTCACTCACCCAATCCGATTCGGACCAGGAAAAAGCAGGGACTGATCCAGCAGTGACATTTGAATCCACGATCGTCAGCAGCACGATTGACACTAAGCCAGCTCCCAACGCGCATGATGCTGAAGAGACAACAGAGTCCATTACGACAACAAAACCAACTCTACCCAGCAGCAATTCATTCCTGTCTCATGATACTAGTCGTGGTTCCAGCAGCAATCCTCAATCCCTGTCGAGTACGAAATCCTTATCCAACAAGCCAATGATTAGCTCTGCATCCGTATCAACATTAGCAGCCACAGATCATCCAGTACCGTCTACGAAAGAGTCAGCCTCCACGACCATGCCGGTTCACCACACAGCTACATCAGTTGAAGGTTTGGTAACGGAATTCCCCATTGAGTCTATCTCCAAAACACAGATTTTCGATGAAAACTCCAATTCACAAGTTCACGGTGGACCAACAGTTCCAGAAATGCGCGAGGGGATGAAATATAACGTTACCTCACCCGTAATTTCGCACAACACTGTTTCACGCACCGAGACTATCACCGGTAACACCGACCCGGCCAGTAGTGAAGGGAGAAGGGAGACAGTGGTGACCACAAAGGAGCCATTTTCTACCAGTGGCACACGTGCTCGGACTTCTTCCGCTACTCCACAAACTCCATTAGCCTCTGACATAACTCGGGACACCAGTGGTTCCACTGGCACTGGCATACAATATCCACCACCACGGCGTGCAGACCAGAACACTACCAGCATAATGATTCATGGAAATATATCTACGTTCACATCAAAAACTCCTCCAGCGACCTCTACCAAAAATCTTGTTCCTACGCAGCGCACTGGCCCAAGAGATGACGAAATGACAAAGGAATACCCGCATACATCTGTGTCCAGCAACCAAACTTTGAAAGAGAACTCTAATCCAGCACCTGGAAGCATAACTACGGATCCAATCATTCTCGAAGGTAACATAATGACAACACCAATACATTCGGAGACCGCCACTTCTCGTAGCCAATCTCTTCCAGAGGCCACCAATGAAAGAACGGCAGAGTCAGCTGTGGAACCAACAGAGGCAATAACAGCCACCCAGACTCCGTTTGAGGAACCTGACGGCAATGATAATGATGAACGTACAAGTATTTCCACAGATTCCAGGAGCCATTCTAGCTCGTCTCTCAGTACGACACCCATGCACTCTGGTAATCAAGATGATCAAACTGCAGATCTGGGGATGGCTGACGTGGGTCCAAAAACGACAACAGTGCCAGCAACCTTCCCATCTGGAACTTCTAGCAGTGGAACAAGTCAGAGCACAACTGCACAGAATCTACTCAAAGTGGCTGGCACGGAAAACCCAACCCGCACTCCCTTTCCGTCTTTTGTGATCACTCCCGGGTCTTCAACTGCCAAATACTCACCAGAATATACCATTACTTCTACCGGTGCTAATAGAAACTCTCAATCGACAATGGATCCTGAATCTACACCGAGCGCATCAATCCGTCGCAGGCTACCACCTGATCACTCAAACTCAGATCCTGCAACGGACACAAATGGCAATGGGGCTCATGCGTCGAGTGCTGCTCCGTACTCCACTACAGACATGACAGAAATGGCAATGGGAGGATCAGAAGCATTAGATTCAACTTTTACCAACAGTCCAATCGAAACTGTGCGCGTAGAGATACAAAGTCGCGATGCGGCCACAAATCCAGACAGCGAAATACCTGGCGTGTTCCAAAACACTACAAATCACTCTTCTGGTTTGGCTAATCTTTCTTCTTATAGCGAAGCTGAAGACCCAATTTCACCCTCTGATAGAGGATCAATACAGCCGTCATCAACAATAGGCCCGATGGTCACCAGCCAAACTGGGACCTCTGCTTCATCTACATTCGTCCGTGCTGATGAAATAAATGTAAGGAGCAGGAGCACTGGCGCTCATCACCAAGCTTCAGAGGACGGGCAAATGTCTACGGACAGGGAAGGCACCGCGATGAAGCAGTCGTCCTACAGTTCAAACACCACGACGAGTAGAATCGCACAAATAACGACCACGTCGATGTCCGAGAATTCTCCTTCATCTACAACCGTCAGTGCTGATGAAATGAGTGTAAAGAGCCAAAGCACAGCTGGTCATGACCAAGCTTCAGACGAAGAAAAGTTGTCTGCAGGCAGGGAAGGCGCCACAATGAAGCAGTCATCAACCAGTTCGTATGCCACAACCAGTGAAATCGCACACATAACCACCAAGTCGATGTCCGAGAATTCTCCTTTATCTACATCCGCCAGTGCTGATGAAATGAGTGTAGAAAACCAGATCACTGGCATTCATGACCAAGCGTCAGACGATGTTCAAAGGTCTGCAGACAGGGAAGGCACCGCAACAATACAGCTGTCCCACATTACGTACACCGCGACGAGTAGAATGGCACACATGAGCACAACAACAATGTCGTCCCTGGCGGACAATGTAGCTCTAACGGACCCCACAACCAGTGACCAAATTGACGCAGAAGATCCAATAGAGCCCAGGACCCTGACTTACAGCGAGTTGATACCATCCCAGGGCACCAACGACATTCTCAGCTCACCCGAAGAATATGCCACGTACAATAATCAATCTTACTCTACACTTGCAACTGATGAACAGCGGAATGACAACTCCACCAGCACAGCACCGTCCGAAGAGGAAAGTAGCGAATCTCAGCATGCAGTCGTCCGCTTTCTGGTGAGCCACAAGCTGCCATTAATTATCGGTGGATCTTCAGTGGGTGCTGCTTTGCTGCTTATTGTCGGGCTAGTTCTAGTCATTCGCCGCAGGAGGAGAATAAAGAAACTCGACTTCCTGAACAGTAAGTGTGGGGTTCTTCCAGTAAAGGCTCTCCCCGCCCTTACCTCTTTGAAGTACATGTAGTATTATAGGAAACTTTCCTGTGTACTTTTCAGTTCCAATGGACGTGCGCAACATGTGATTTGCATTCCATAGTAGTTTGTCTTCCGTTTACTGGTCAAACAAGACTGGTGGCATAATTATGGTGGAGGAGGTAGTGTTGGTTTCTGTTGAGTTTTCGTAAGACCGGATAGATTAATTATAAATAAGGAAAATTAGTGTAAGAACGGGCGTCAGTTCGATTTATAGGATATTGGTATAGATATTCAGGGGAACTCAGTTTTGTTTTTTTGCGTATCTATTCTCTATGTATTTTCGCTTATTTAGAGTCGTTCAGCACTCCTGCAACCGATGCAGAGGTAGGACGAGCTGTGATGTCTGCCGTTACATTGCAATATTTTATTAAAAACTGTTGTACAGTGCTGCTAAATATAGTCCTATCAGTAGATTCCTTGCATGCTCTCTCTCATGCAGCACACGATAGAGTTGGATTCAGAGACATCATTCACAGTTCTCTCGCTGATTAATGCCTCTACGATCACCTTGTGATTATGAGTTATACATTCATACATACAGTAGATTCATCAGTGTGCTCTGCGCCAGTTCACATAACAGTCTTTGCAGGTCTAGGGCTGCTCGTCGCCAAACGTGGCTTGCACTGACCGGATTCGTTAAGTAAATGTGCGTAGGATTAGACACCAGATCAGTATGCAGGCCGTAGCCTAGTGATTCTGAGTCTTGGAATGTTGAAGTAAAACTTGAAGTTCGTTTGGAGCTGTAAGACTGTGACGTAAGGGAATTTTTTACTGTTAGACTATCCTTTATTATATTCGGAGGATTGAACTATACACCGTATCTCTCCTTTCGCTTTTCTCTATTTCTCCGCAAGGCCGAGAATCGGTTAGGCAGGGACCATCAGACCGCAGAGAATGTAAGGACACCGCATGCATTTATTTTGCTTAACACTTCACGTATTAATAACTCATATTGATCAGGACTTACACACTCCTTGCCACATGACAAGAATAACGCTTTTGCTTACCCTTCTGACTCTCGTTATGTCCTATCTAAAAACCGTTCCAAACCAACTGCATAGAAATCTACAAAATCTGCTCAAATTCAGTCCAGTTTCCACCCCGAGTTCCATTCACCATTTCCAAAAATCAGATTCACAGTATGATTGTATGATACTCAGTGCGGCGCACAGGGTAATTACTTTGCCAAGGTAGAACTGTCTGTAACTATCAGCTATAAGTAGACTTGAACAGAACTGCAAGCTATTACCCCTTAGAGTGCTCAAACTATGGACGTCACCGGGCAATACATGAGGCTCAAACTTGTCAGTTGCATGTTTCGAGCTTAACAGTACGTGCCAGATCTTCACAAGGCCGAAATAGTTGGGTAAAATGCTCATTTCTGCAGGCTACTAACTCAGCTAGCTAATGCTGCATGATCAGTGCAAGTGCCATTTTTTTCACAACTGAAGCACCGCCTTTGCGATAAAGGCCACAGAATTGTAGGCAGCTGTTACATTCTAACATTCTTGATGCACAAGAGGTACACAAAAGGAAGTAAATAGGGCTGTTTTTGTTGTAACTCAGAGTTTCATGGCAAAACCCAATCATCAGACAACATAAGGAAATTAGAAAAAACATTCATTATGTAGACTTCTACACTTGTTTTACAACCAATGGAACGGATGTTACCGGTATGTAGATATGCTACATTCATACCATTACCCAATGTGAATTTCCCTCTTTCCCTATCCAAATTCCAACAGAACGCAAAGGGCAGTATGATGAGTATCTACGAATCTGGGATTGAGCTGCAATCAGCCGAAGGAACAGTCGTCGACTTTCCGGTGGTTCCAGATGAAAATCCATACATGTGTTTACGCTTCGAGACCACCAGTTTTTCGTGCAAAGACCCGCTGGTGAGTGTCGGGTGGTCCTTTAAGGGTCTGATTCCGGTCTCCTGTGTATTGAGGGCACTCTCCACACACGCGCTTGTTACATCCCAAGGTTCTCAGTACATAATTAATATTTCTTCAATGGCTTCAAATTCGTCCTCTACATGAAATCAATTGCTCTGTAATGCGTAAATACTGTTACGCTCAGTGGGTTTCTAGTCCACAGCTGGAACTGTTCAAAGGCGTTAACCACTAAACATGTCTTGACTGTAATCCCAGCCTATGAAGACATCTGTTCAATTTTTGATCTATTCTGTATTACAGGCAGTACCAAGTGAAGATGACTACAACCACCTGGCTGGCCTGGGTCTTGTCATTGCAAGACCTGACTTGAAGGTAAGTGAGTGTACACGTATCCGACTGTATCATGGTAACAAATTCTTCTGAGGTGAATGAGACAACAAATACAGGTACACGGCTTTACCGATGGTGCGCTAAACTTTAGACACAATGTCCAGAAATGAACCATCAGTATTGAGTCTTTTTCTTGTACACTAGCAGATACGCCATACTAGTGATGGGAATGTACATTACTCAATAGAGCTCAGTGTCGATAGTAACCATGCGTCTCTAGATTGTCAGCTATGACGGCAGTTTAAACATTCCACTCACCCTTTACTCTTTGTCTTCTCTCGTCGCTTTCAATTCACGTACCATCTACTATGCAGGATGCTAAAGATACCAAGTGTTCGATGTCATCAGAGTGCTAACAGATGTGGTGATGCTGCTGACCTCAAGGAACGGGCTTGAAACATACGGACACTTCTATCTGAAATTGGATGAAATGATACATTTATGTTCATATACATTGGTTGTGTTTGCTTCGGTTGATCATACTTACGCCACATGAACCCTCGCCAATGAATGTACGTCACCTTTGCACTTTGATGCGATACTATTTTTCTTTCAAGTTCATTTTTTCTCTTTCTATTCTTCTGAGTTTGCATCAGTCTCAATCATGGCATTACACAGAATCTCCTTTCCTTTACCAAAGTTATCGTCCACTAACAATTTTAGAAAACCAACCTCAGTCTTCACATTTTTCTATCGCCAATTCGCTTGGTTTGGTTTCACAATAGTTGTCAATCCATTTGTAACGAACAGCTTTCGTGGAGATAAGAAGCAAATTTACACCATGATCCTTCTACCCAGACCTGCTCTTTAAATTGCCATTAGTTGTATTGAAGTAAGTTCTTTAAATCATTTGCGTTCCTAAGGGAGGTACCTGAAGGTTTTGTAGATTGTACGTTTTTCGCGTCTATGTAACAGCAAAACTTTGTCCAGTAGTATTTGAAGTATGTTTTAACCATTTTCTGTGCACTTGAATCTTTACTGGGGATATCCGTGCAGGACATTTTCAATATGTATGAATTGCTTACTGTGAGTGGCGTTTTACATCAGACTTTTCCTGTCCCACGTCATCAACCTACTGTCATTCTACACTTTCAAATGCTGTAATACCTTGTAAGGATAGCTTCAGTTTTCGTTCCATTTGTGTTCCTGGCCTGTATGGCACGTATTATTACGTTCCATTTGTTTTTCATCTACCAGAGTACCTCGTATACTCACTCCTTTCCGTGAAATGTCAATCTTGAACTACATGATGCTAGTTTTCCTACTTGAGAGCGGGTTTATTCACAACACCAATTGGGCCAATCGCGTGAAACCATGAAGTAAGAGACAAAGCAAAAATGCAACCCAAATTCAGAAATATAATACAACACTCAATTGCAATGTAAGATTGAACACAAAGGCTTCACAGGAAACCATTACCTAGCTAGATGTGCTACTTTAATGCTATTATAGTGTGTCTTACAAAGTTAGGCCCCTTGTTCTGTTACGGTGGACACTTTTCACTGTGGCTAGTGGGTCTTCCAGTGACATCATCGAATATGCTTTTGTCACATGACGCTGCAGAAAAGCAATGCTCGTGATGTCATTTCATCCAAACAGGCGGATGATGATATAATCGCAAAACCAAACTAAAAAGTAAAATTTTATACCGAAGGGAAGGCAATACGAGTTGAGGCAGTATGATTCCAGACCCATCTGATCAGTTAAGATTAGTGAACTTTTGTTACCGTGTAACACTGAGTACGTACCCAGGCATGACGAAGTATTTTTCCACTTCCCGAGGTGTACATATACATTTTATCCGAGTTCCACTGTATTGGAGGAGGTCAGCAGAGGACGAAAAGCAAATCAAGGACTACGTAATGCACCTTGTGTTTCCGTTCCATTGACATTCTGTGTGCGTCAGGTGAAACACACTGGTGCGATTCTCAACAGAAGAATTGAGAGGTTCCTGCAAACAAAAGCCGGTAATTCCGCGCTGCCAGCATGAATTACCTTCAGGATAATGGCCACGTTTTACTCTGTATGTAAATAGCATGAAAATAATGTGCCAATTCCCCGAGGAGCTTGGCGGCACTGCCATTACGTTAATGATACCTGGATTCCAAAGGCGCCTGGCAAGCTCCCGAAATACAGCACGCATATAGATCTCAAAAAGAGGTGGCTTGCTTGATAATCCCGCGAGTGTGGCTCAACCTACTGTAGCGTTTTCTACGAATACGGCTGCATCCATTCAGGGCACTAGCTATTGCGCGTGAAGGCGTACTCCACAGGACTCGGTGTTACATCTTTCCACGATTTAGTCGTAGATCAGGGATCTATGTGGTTGCTATTGTATTTCAAATAACCCAAAGCATAGTGATATTGAACTCGGATGGTGAGCCAATATAGTTAAAAGGAAAGGACCAAATGTTACAAGTTATGACAAACTGTCCCTCTTTGACCTTTCCGAACCTGAGCCTTCCAAGTTGGAAGGTTGTTGGTTTGCGCCTTGGAGAAGTGTTTGAGCTAGGTGTCAGGTCGCCGAATGTCTCATTACTCCTTGTGAGTTTTGTGCCATTTTGTCGCACTGGCTGACTGTATAAGATCTGGTTACGTTGGTGGACAGTTTGTCGTAACTCGTAACATTTGGTCATTTTCCTTTCACAGTGATATTGAAGGTTTCAAACAGAATTTCGGTTACTGTTTTATATGTCGTGCAATTGCATCCATTTTACCGATCAACCTGGCCTCCGGGATTTTGGTTTTGATTTTGATACTTGATCCAATCGATTAAATCCGACATGATTTTGGCTTGTCACGATGCGGTCGGCCCAGGGTGGGTTGAGGTCATAATTATCACCATGGTGTAGTTAGCTACCGTTGTAGACGTCTCAAACCTCGGTCGTGTTTTGGGCCTATAGTGAGGTGTACACCTGCTAGAGGAGTTCCCAGCATTGTGCAAAGTGTTGGTATAGCCAAAGGAAACCTGCCTACATAAGTAGTAGGAAACCAGAGAGATAAACTAGCCAATTTTATCACGTTAACTCAGACATGCTCTCAGTAAATGAGCCGCAATCAGCGAAAACGACCCTTAGAGATTTCGTAATTTTTTCGAGAAAAAGGTCGATTTGTGACGTTCAACGATTTTTTGATCGCGCTGCAAACAGCGCGACGACTTCTTGATTTGAACTCTTTGCTTGAAGTTGAAGTAATTTATTTTGAAGTTGAAGAGGTGTCGAGTGGCGAGTCCAGTGTTCCTTGACCTTGTTGCGATGGCTGCGGACGCCAGAGCTGTTCGCAGAGCACACACGGCAGTCATTGTCTACAGCTAGCTCGAGCCTGGTGGGGAGTGGGATGCTGAAGTAGCCGCTGAAGTTCAGAATGAGGATGAAACGTTCTTTGGTTCCGACATCGATGTCGACAGCGAGGCGGATCGCAGCCGTCATCTCCTGCTGCGATGCGGCTCAAGGTGGCCTATGACTCGTCAGAGTCGGAAGATGAGGAGTCGTCACCTGAGATAAATTCTGAGTCTGGGGCTAGTGACGGCAGCGACGTCGTGTCTTCAGCTGCGGAGGAAGAAATGGAAGACGAGATTGCGGAACGACTCCACGCAGGATGAAGCTGCGAATATGTCGATCATCTCTCCGCACTCATTAGCTATTCTTTGTCATTATAGCTGCTTACTTCACTATTTCAAAAGTATTCAAGCTGCCCACCCACCTTCGAATGCTGAATATTCATTGTACACATACATTGCACCAATTTGGAGTACATCTTGTATATTGGTGTATACACCCGTTTAGAATCGGAATATTGAACTTTTTCTTGGCTGAGGTCCTTCAGTAGATGTGGTTCAACAAATTTCTAACCAAAAAGGAATTTTGAAAATGTTGACCCTAAGGGCTGTTTTCGCTGGTTGAGGCCCAAATAATCTCCATTTTATGATGGAAAATATGTTTATGTTTTCATTTCAAAGATGCCCATTACCGCCTAAGTAGTGAAATGACGAAACGGATGACTTGATCGAGGTGGTCATCATTCTGTATCCGAACCAAAAATTCTCTGTTGAGCGCCACCTACTAGAAGCCGATACTGCCCCTGAAAGCGGATTGCCAGCTAACCCTGCCAACTAAACATTCATACTGTTCTTGAATCGTGTCTGCTTAACAGATGTACCCTTTACGATAACAATGATGGCAGGATTACGTCTTTATCCGGTCAATAACTCGTGGCAAACATCCACCCATTTAGGTACCACTGGCTGCATGATGACCAGCCCATCATTCTCTTTTCTTTGGCTATGTTTTGGTGTACATGATTATGTACTAGTATGCATATTTAGTATGTACAGGTGCATGCGTATAAGCACCTCATTCCCGATCATTCCTCATTCTTCCTTCCATCTGGCAACTGCTGGTTTTATACATTGTGTAATTTCTCAGCCTTATTTGCATTAATAATGATAATATAATGTACATTTAACCTCATCGCTGATCTGTTTTGAACACTGGTATCATTTCAGAATTTACGAAGGTTAGTTGAGGCCACATGGATGCAGTGAATGGAATTTTCGGTCTTTGTCAACTTTGTGGTGGGTCTGATCTACTCACCTCTCACTACTTTAGGAGCTGCATCTCTACCTTGATCCAAGAGCGTGGTGGCGATCCCGGGGATGCGGAAAACTCTGTTTTTATTTGTAGTCAAGGCTAAGAGTCATCCTGTTTCTTAGATCCGTCTGGGACATTCTAATGTCCACGCATGCCCCGATGAGGTTTGCGTGGTGTGGGCAGGACGATCACTTCCTAGAAACTCATTTATTGCATCGTTCAAGTCGAAGCGGGCCACTGAAGAACTGAGTCAGTCCAATATGGAAATGAATATCACCGTTTGGGTATTCACGATCGCGTTTATAGGACTAGCCGATTCGGGGAGCAGGAACGGAGGAACGTCTCCTCCGAAGTCAACTAAAGCCGCTGGAATCCCAACACAACATGGTACGTTTAATTATTACTTGTATACAGTCTCGATTTGAGGCATCAACAAAGACGATATTTCAAAGAATGGGTGTTGCTCTCAATGTGGAAACTCGCGCTTGCAGACTCGACTTGGCTCAACTGCTATCCGCACCCCGCTACATGTTCTTGCAGCAGACCTTCCACTAGGCAAGCTCCATTTTCAGCCCATCCAGTCGGGACTCAGTCAAGTACTAGTAACACGTATGCAGCGCTACGTACATATGCAGCGAAGTCAATAAAGGCGTGTAGCCTCTTGTTTGTTTGCAATCTCGGCTGATCCATTCCAGTCGTGACTCAGTCAAGTCACAAGTATGCAGCACTTCATACATATACAGTGAAGTATATCAGGGTGTGTATCCTCTTGTTTGTTTACAATCTCGTTTATTGTGACTGGTCCCTCGTGCTGTTTGTTCTGTCCTATTCGTGAAGAGGACAATTTAATACCTTCAAGTACATGGTCAATTTCGATTCGGGTCATGCCGAATTGAGTCCTGGGCAAAGTGGCGAGTTCCCATAAGACGGGCGCTGGTGTCCACCGCGGTGAAATGGGTTTCGCTGATGTGGTAGCACACCAGTCAAATACATTCCCTTTTTCGCTTACCTTCACCTAGTGGCAAATGTTACACAACCCATAATCATACTGCCTTATGCAGACATAGGGCGCTAGTTCACAAATCCAGCTGCAGTAGGTCACAGCCAGTTTCTCTCTCTTCTGTGTGATCACATGTAGCAGACCTTATTCGCGCAATTAGTGCGCCCAGTCGATCTATCTCTGGCTCTCTCTCTCTCCATCGCTCTCTATAGAAGAGTGGATTCTCTAATATAGAAGTATAATGTCTTCCTCTAGGTACCACATGGTCCCTACTGCTAATGCTGGCATACCTGATTTGCTGAATGGTAATATTAATTTTATCAATATCACAATATCACATGTTTTAGTACAGTATATCGCATGTACGCTGTTCTGCAATTCAATGTAGTGACTCTGAATGTGACTGTCTCTGAAGCAAGCTGCGAGATGTATAATAGAAGTTTCTCGGTCCGCGTCAGACTCGGCTAGAAGCCGAGTTTTTCGTATTCGGAAGAACGCCACCATCCTTCAAGGGTCCGAGTAAGGCATATTTCATCTTCCAACATTCAAAGCACCGCATTTGAACTGGATGATGCCTGCCTCATTCCTATTTTTAAGACACTAATGAAATTATTGTCTCCATCTAGGTTACCAGATTAAGAAAATTCGGTGATAATTTGTGTATATTTCTGTGTTCTCCCCCCCCCCCCTGTCTTCAGTTACACTTCAAAATGTGTGGACAAGAAGGGAACCTTATTATGCCGTCCTAAGGAATACCATACTCAGTAAGCCGACAGGAACCCCAAGACTGCATACCACAACCATCCCGCCGGTCCGATTTAGGCCGTTTACTGTAGCACCAAGTATTATCACGGATAGTGGATTACCGCCTTCAGCGTTCTCTTCATCCGCAAGCACGAGAGCAACAGAATTTGGTAAGTGCCCTGCAGTTGCCTTTCCTCGGAAATAAACACCCTTTTGCAAAAGTGAGGAATGTTGATATTTTTGGAACAAAGCGGCAGCTTTTCCAATTATTCAAGTGATAAGGTCAGGCATTCTGACGTCATCCACAGCAGTCTAGAAGAAAAATCGATATATAGGAAACAAAAACAGAAATAAAAATTTCCTTCACTTTAGGATGGTGATTGAGCCTTGGACAGGTATTCATATCGATGTATCCAGTGTATGCTTGTTCTTTTGTAATGTTCAATCTTTTAGAAACCGCATCAAGTACAGTTCCAACGCAAGGCTCCCTGGTAGCCTCATCTGGAAAACCCCTCTTGCCAAGTACAATATCTCTTTCCAAGTCGCCAACGAAAACGTCCAGTCCACAGTACACTACCGGTAAAATGCTCTCCAAACCACCAACAGAGAAAAAGTTTACCTTCACTTCCCAAGGGCTGCCAGCATTTTCCACTTCATCGGACGGCGTCAGGACCTTACCAATATCCTCACCGGTGGGTGGGAATCCGCCAAAAGAGGCAATACGTACGTGGAACATTAAATGGAAATAGTGGAGGAGTTTCTTCAAATACAACCATGCCAATAAATTTTAAGGGGACTGGTACATGTATATCATGTATATAGCTTGATCTAATAATGGCAGGGCCTGCAAGGTTTACAACGTAGTTTCTCTGTTATCTATGCCCATGGTAGGTGCAGTCCATTTTCTCATACTGCAACTCTCTCAAACCACTGGGTAATCATCGTACCGTTGAGTTCTTATGTGTACACGACGCAGGTCTTCTCTCATTAAACACCATGAAGTAACCGTTGGTGGATACTGCCGGCGGAAAAATCGACAGAATTTGGTACATTTTCTGGTATGTTTCATGCATGTTTGGTATGTGGATGAAGAGTACTAGCAAATTTCGAGGAATTGCTTGCCATCAGGTTTGTATGTTGCTGTCAATTTCACTGCTTTTCGAGCCGAATCTGCCAATTTGTCGAGCATTTTTAAACCTGCTGCTAGTTAGTGTAGAGCGGAAATATGAAGTCAGTCAGATAACTAAATGCTACCGAAATGATATGTAGTCTCCCTGTACTAAATCAGCGTTGTGCCAGTGTTGGTGCTTGGAATTTGTTCGGTCTAAGAGCGCATATGTGTCGTAGGGAGGATGGACTGAACTGATTACGATCGGGCCAAACGTTTCTTCCTGCCGTCGATCAATAACACAACCCTGGTTAGGAATTTACATGTATTTCCATGAGGAAGATCAATCAAAATTAATTTATCGAATGAATGATCAGATGAATATGTTTAACTGCACATCTGTACACATACACTAACCTACAATCTCACGTAGTGGGATTTGTTAATATTTAAAACACTTTCACAGGCCTGGTCCAGAGCCTGGTCCATAGCTAGTCGGATACGGAAAAACGATGAAAGTCAGAATGGACTGTTTTAAACTGTGTTGAAAAAGACAGGACAAATTGTGCAGGAAACATACGCAGACTTTAAAAACTTACATGTAAATTCTTAAAGTGTCCACAGAACAATTCTTCCTCTTTACTGTAATGTCAGAGCTGTCATTTCCACAACAATTGTGTTAATGTAATGACGCGGAGCTCTTTTTCTCCCAATTTTTGTGCCTCTCGTAGGGGTAGTGAGCAATGGCAGTTCATCGGGGGTGGTGATTGGCGTTGCGATTGGGTCGTTTGCAACTGGCTTCCTCACAGCGGCTTTGGTTATCAAGCTCTACCTACGCAGCAGATCAAAGACGTATGGAAGAAAGGATGGATCACAGCTCTGCCATGATGGTGTGCATAGTAGCATTACTGAAACGCCAGTAGCCATGACGGAGAGTGAGCTGTACGGGAACAGAGCGGCAGAGCCGGAGCAAAGCAACTGTGACGACGGTGTGTACACGTATGTTGCTTACTAAGCACACGTAGATATTGCTGAAGACGTGCCACACGAATCTTTACTTACACCATACACTGGAGTGTCCTTTTCTACTTGTTGCATACCTTCTACAAACACTGTTCTATTTTCCTTGCGCTGTTGCAATCACCTCGCTCTTCGACTTAAGACTTCAAAGTACATTAGAGGAAAACTTTTAAGAATTACATGATATTGAAGAGCCTGAAGTTTGTCCTTTTCTCAGTTTTCGCGTTCTTGTTCACGAGGAAACTGTTGTTGCACGTACATAATTGTAAGATAATTGTATGGTGCTCCAGTCTATTCTTGAAACGCGGAGTGATGAAACTGTTACCGTTCGTCCTTATTTGTGTACTTTGTACTTAGCCTTTGGCAACTTGAGTCCTCTACTGACGGCGGATGAACATCACATTGTAATAATCAACTGTAGTCAGGCACGCATGCATTGACCTCAATTTCCCCAACTGTATTTGCGACCAATTTTTGCCATTCTCTATGACCTCGCATTGCAGCCATATTCACCAATTGCCGCGCTTGTTTTACGGCAACACGACTGCATCGCATTTCCAGCTTCAACCTCCATCTCTTGCTGAGTACTTGCAATGAAATCAAGAATCAAGTACCCATGCATGTAATCAATTCCTACTTGTAATAAGTTGTTGCTTCCTTTGTTGCAGACTTATACATAATTATTATTCGTTTGAGAATACAGTCTTCTTCATCATGTGAGTGTAGTTTGTGGTCAGCTCGGGAACTGGCGTAACAAGTTGTCGCCGATATTAACACTCAGCTGATATTACATAGCCAAAGCCTAATGTTTGCCAGGTAGAAGTTCTAACTTTCCTTGGAAAATGCTGAACAGATACCTCATGATTCTGTCTAGCTGCAGAAATAGGGGGGAGTACGCTAAGGAGAAAGAGGAATAGAGCACAGAGACATAATGAATGGGAAATGTATTGCTAAAGTGTCATGCCAGCAGCCTGTAGTACACAAAATAACTTGGAACTGAAAAGGTCAGGGAGAAGAATTAGCAGGGTCAATGCAGATCAGCTTAAAGAGAGCAACATCTTGCTAGAAATGGAACAGCACTGGTCTAAAGCAAATATCCGGATGCAGTGCTGCAAACCAACTCGGTCTGCTTTGCATATTGCCACTTCTGATTTTGCAGCGTTTCTGTACATGTACTACCAATGTAATGTCTTGTACATTGCTTGTATTGTGTTTTTTTGTACACTCGCATGCTTATCAGTGGCTGAATTTGCAAGTGCAAAACATGTGTGACTTGTACCAGGACATTGTGTTTTGTGCTACATGCAGTCGAAACATGGCATGCACTTTCTTTGGCACAGGGATATTCATCGCTCAGTTGGTGCTTGCCATGCTTCTTCACACATAAAATCGAAAAACCTAAATTTTCAGACTGAAGGGAAGGCAATACGAGTTAAGACAGTGCGATTCCAGACCCACCTAATCAGTTGAGGTTTGTGAACTATTGTTAAAGTGCAACTCACTGAGTACGAGTCTACCCAGGTAAGACGTACACCTGATTAGTAACTTTAACACTCCCCAGGTGTCCGAGTTCCACTGTATTTGAGGAGGACAGAACAGCACGAAAACCATATCGAGGACTAGGTACGTCATGTACCTTGTGTTTCCATTCCATTGACATTCTGTGTGCGTCAGGTGAAACACACTGGTGCGATTCTCAACAGAAGAAGTGAGAGGTTCCTGTAAACAAAAGCCGGTGATTCCACACTGCCAGCATGAATTACCTTCAGGACAATGGACACGTTTTACTCTGCATATGAATAACATGAGAATAATATGCCAATTCACCGGAGAGCTTGGCGGCACTGCAATTAAATTACTGATACATGGATTCCTAAGGCACCTGGCAAGCTACCGAAATACAGCAGACATATATCTCAAAGGTAGTTTGCTTGATAATCCCGCGCATCAGGCTCAACATACTGTAGCGCTTCATACGAGTATGGCTGTATCTATTCAGGGCACCAGCACTTGCGCGTAACGGTGTATCCCACAGGATTCGGTGTTACATCTTTCCACGGTTTAGTCGTAGATCAGGGTTGTATGTGGTTGCTATCGTTCTTCAAATAACCCAATGCATCGTGATCTTGGGAGTTTCAAACAGAATTTCGGTTTCTGTTTTGTATGTCGTGCAATTGCATCCATTTAACCGATCAACCTGGTCTCCGGGATTTTGGTTCTGATTTTAATACTTGATCCACTGGATCAAATCCACCATGATTCTGTCTAGTAACGATGCGGTCAACCCAGGGTGGGTTGAGGTCAAATCACCATGGCGGTAGTTAGGTCCCGCTGTAGACGTCTCTAACCTCAGTCGTGTTTTGGGCCTATAGTGAGTTGTACACCTGCTAGAGAGGTTTCATAACAGTGTGCATCAAATCCTTTGCATAGTGTTGGGATAGCCAAAGGAAACCTGCGTACATAATTTGAGGGAAAACAGAGAGATAAAAATAGCCAATCATATCCGGTTAACTAAGACATGCTCTCAGTTAATGATTTCCATTTTATGAATATATTTCAATATTTTCAATTCAAAGATTCCCATTACCGTCTAAGTAGTGAAATGAAGAAACTGATGACTTGATCGAGGTGGTCATCATTCACTATCAGAATCCAAACATCTCTGTCGACCGCCACCTACTATAAGCCGATACTGCCCCTGAAAGCGGATTGCCAGCTAAGCATGCCAACTGAACATTCATACTGTACTTGAATGGTGTCTGCTTAACAGATGTACCCTTTAAGATAACAATGATGGCGGATTACGTCTTTATCCGGTCTATAACTCGTGGAAAACACCCACCCATTGAGGCACCACTGGCTCCATGCTGTTCTCTTTTGTTTGGCTGTGTTTTAATCTACATGAATATGTACATGTTTTATTATGGACATTAACCTCATCGCTGTTCTGTTCTCAGCACAGGTATCATTTCAGATTTGAGGAAGGTTAGTTGAGGCCACATGGATGCAGTGAATGGGATTTTCGGTCTTTGACAACTTTATGGCGGGTTTCATCTACTCAACTCTCACCGCTTCACAATGTAGGTGCTGCATCTGCGCCTTCATCCAAAAGCGTGGTGCCGTTCCTGCGAATGCTGAAAACCCGCGTTCCAGCGTAGTCTAAAGCGAACCGTGATTTTCATTTTTTTAGTTGAGGCCAAAGCTACGAGTTTTCTTGTTTCTGAGATCCTTCTGGGATATTCTAACGTCCACGGATGCCTCGATGAGGTTTGCGGGGAGAGGGCAGAACAATAACTTCCTAGAAATTCCTTAATTGTATCGTTCAAGTCGAAGCAGGCCACTGAAGAACTGAGTAAGTCCAATATGGAAATGAATATCACCGTTTGGATATTTGCGATAGCGTTTATAGGGCAAGCCGAGTCGTGGAGCAGGAGGAGGAGAAGAAGGTCTTCTCCTACGACAACTACAGCCACTGCAATCACAACACGGCAATATGGTACGTTTAATTATTACTGTCCGTGCGTTTGCATTTCCGATGGACATTCCTTCCTTCATTTTCAGGCAGTTCAAGGGATCACTGCGTTGACCTTTGACCTCTAGACGTTGGACCCTGTAATTGGATGTTTTTGTTCCGTAATTTGCTCCATAATTCTGGACTGTTGCTGATAGAAGTTGCTTTATAGAACTATTCGTTTTTGTGGATGTGGTTTAAGTTGAAATGGGTGATCATTTCTTTGTATGTACATGTACATAACGTTATACATGGTATGTCTGTTTGTATGTTTGTAGATTATTTAGTGAATTTTCTTAAAATTGTTGTTGTACAGAGTGAGTAGAAAAGAGAGTGGAAAACACAGATGAAAATGATCATTGAGGACTAACATCCATAGCATCATCACCTTGCCACTCACATACTTCGAAGTAGTTGTTACTTGTGCATAGTGCAATGTTTTTACTGGTCGCAGGTTTCTTGGCTAATCTTTGTATCTGCTAGGCACCTCCTCCCGTACCTTTTCTAGCTGGCCTGCATGTGTAGTATCCCTGCCCGACCAATACGGAAATAGTACGGAACTAATACGGAGCTTTGCCTGATGTATAGTTAGTGTATCTCCGTATGTAAGCGTACGGCGTCTGCTGCATAAAAGCGGCTGCGCATTTCTGTTTTGAAGAAGATGAGAGATTTTGATAATAACGAGCTATTCAACCTCCAGGTGTGCACCGGAGAGAAAGTCAGTTATTTTGCCGCTTCTTCTTTCACTAATAATTATATCTCAGGTGTGTACCTGAAAGTAGAATAAAAGTAATTGTTGTTGATTTCACCGCGCCTACCACTCGGCTACCCATTACACATGCACTTGCGTACTCATCTTTTGTCTCCTTTTGTTCCGTTGCCCTGGGTAGCTACTTGCGCGCCCATATTTGCCATAGCTACCCAGGCCCTTTATCTTGCCGTTAAGACTTGATCTCTTCCTCTCTTTTCTCACTCTTCAATAATCACCATCTAGTCGTTTTGTTCGTCCTGGTCTTAGTCACCCAGTCTCTAATAAATGTCGTTCCACCAACCTACCTGTTCCCGTTGTAATGTCTGGATAATATGTCGCCAGTCGTCCTTTTTCGTATTTAACATATCTATTGAATGGGGTATAGTTGTAAGATATCTTTTTCGCAAGTCAATACTTTCCCCTCCGTTTGAGTTTTCACTTTCGTGTTAGTATTCTCTGACGAGTGTTCTTCAAGTACGTGTGTGAATGTGTGTGTGAATGTGTAAATGTGTATGTGTGTGTTTGTAAATGAAAAAAGTGAATATGTATCCCCGTGTCAAAGCAAAATTACGAGGATTTTGCGAGCATAATTGCGAGTATAATTCCACGATTTCGTGAGCATAATCCACCGGAGCCTACCGGCGGATTATGCTCGTGAAATCGTAAATAATTGTGCTTTCGCGGAGTCTCGCATTGTGCTCGCAAAATCCTCATATGCTTAGGTGCGCGGGGATACATATTCACTTTGTTGTATTTATGGAGCCTCAAAGTTCGGAAAATTGTGCATTTTTCGTACTTATAAGTGGCCATAAGTACAGCAGAATACATGAGCATCCCCATACCAAGGTGCTCACGCATGCAAGAGATGAACATGAAAAGGAGAAAAGAGTACTTCTTCCATTCATTAGTTGACTTCTTTCGTAAACATATTTTTTATCTCCAAATTAGTTTGAGTTACCTTTGACAACTATCCTGTTCAACAGTCTTCGTAATCATCATACTTGTCCAACCGA